GATTTGTTCTTCGTAGCCGAAAAGCATTATTGCACAAGTCTAGTGGCTACTGCAAGTAGACTGATGACAGGTAAGTTTAATTGCTTTTTTTTTCTAATTTAAAACAAGGAGGGCCCTGAATGTAAACCAATAGACGAACTACTGTAACTTAAAAAGATGTTTATTTTTTTTTGAACATTTGAGTATTCTGTCATTTTTGAAGTGATGAGTATCCTATTTTACTGTAAAGATACCAATTCTTTATATTGGAAAGCTGTCAAAATGATCAATGTGATTAATTTAATTGCTTCTAATTGTAGATAATAATTTCTGATACTGAAGGTGAAATATTGTGGTTTAAATACTGTGTCTTTGTGCAACCTGTTTGTGATAAGATCACTCTTTATTTACCTAGACATGTTTATTTATCTGTAAACAATAATTCAAATGGACAGCCCATCGAGATGGAGTCAGATTTTAGCTGGTGTATAGTGAAACGGATACACTGACATTTATTTGAGTATCAAATAATAAAAAATCGCCAGTGAAAACACCATACTGTTCAAAAACATGCAAGTGTATTGGTAATACACAATGTTTCTCTCACAAGACAGGGCCCATATACAAACCTCAAAGATGCATCGCCTGACAGCTATTCAGCACAATCATCATAAAAGGTTAAACATATAGATACATTTATGCAAACTAGCAAAACTAGTAAAACGTGTTCTTTAACTGTATAACTTTATAAACTGCCTACACTTTTTATGTTTTTATTATAGAATCAAATCATACAATTTTGAATGTTGAAGAGCAAAGTAAACAGTAATATCAACTACAACAAACATAACATTTCTTCCATAAATTATTCATAATACAGCTTTAAAGAACAGTCACTCATGCAACTGGAATATACTATCTATACAAAATATTAAAACAAAAATGACCGGACGTGCTTTGCAGCTTAGGCATGTCCGAGCACAAAATAAGCTTATTTAGCCTCAAACTGCTTTGGAAGAAGCTTTGTGTGACCGGTGGACTATCCTGTAACTGAGCAGGAACACGTTGATACCCTACGTGTGTTGTTGCACCGTAGGGCCACTCAGCCCGGCCATGTGGCCTAACATGACATGCGGCCTAGTGCCCGAGGGATGTGGCTGATCTCCGTACATGGATCATGCTCTCTGAAGATAAAGCTCTGTGGCCCTTCAACCCACTTCCCTCCCTTTGGACCAGTAAGGAACATCCCAGTCCCCATTATGGAAACTTGTCTCTCCACCGTAGTGGAATCTCTCTGAAACCATATCCGCATGACTAACATAAGATGGCTGCCAAATCACAGCCTTCACGATCAGGGCTGGTGCTACCATAAGGCAGCACAAGCGGCCGCCTTAGGGCGTGCCGCGCAAGGACCCGAGGGGCGCAAAAATGTCCGAGTGACCGGCAGGAGCACGGAGAACTCCGCTCCCGCCGGTCAATTTCTGCAGCAATCTGCCCAGCTGGCTGGGAAACGTGCAGCCACTGAGGGAAGGGGGCGGAACAGCGAGGAGCGACCACGGCAAATCTCTTCCTGAGCTACAGGCCGCTGGGATATGTGACATCATATCCCGGCGGCCAACTGCTGTGGAGCGAGGGGGAAAGCTACTACAGTGCAGCGGGACCTCTGTTTAGCAAGAAACAGTAAGTCTGTTAGTGTGCGTTTGTGTGTTAGAGCCAGTGTGTGTGTGTGTAAGAGTTAGTGTGTGTGTGTGTCTATAAGCTTTGTGTGTAAGAGACTGTGAATGTAAAGCAGTGTGTGTGTGTAAGAGTTAGTGTGTGTGTGTCTATAAGCTGTGTGTGTGTAAGATACTGTGTGAATGTAAAGCAGTGTGTGTGTGAGAGACTGTGTGTGTGTTACAGCCAGTGAGTGTGTATAAGCAGTGTGTGTAAGAGACTGTGTGCGTTAGAGCCAGTGTGTGTGTATAACAGTGTGTATGTGTGTATAAGCAGTGTATGTGTAATGGTCAGTGTGTGTGTGTATGAGCGAGTGAGTGTGTGACGCAAGGGGGTAAAGAAAAGTAGGATGAAGACACAAAACACATAAAAAAGAATGCCAAACAGGGGATACAATATACAAAAAGGGAAAACAAGAGAAAAAGGTGGTAAGATGCAGAAAAGGGGCAAAAGAATGGGTAAGAGGGGCAAAGGTGGGAATATTAGACAGACAGGTGAAGATAAATTTTGGGGGCAGCAAAATGTGTCTTCGCCTGTGTAGACAGAAGTCCTTGCACCGGACTTGTTCACGATGCCAGGAGAGCCTGGCTGTCCAGACATGGAGAGAATGTTTTAATGCTAAATATGACAAGATCTGCCAGAACTTTTGGGAGCAAATCCATAGTCGACATCCCTCTTTTAGCTTGCCTGAGCAGACTGGCCCTCAAGTTGCTGCGTAAGCATACTGACTGCACTCCGAGCTGGAGGCTCGAGTAGAGATTCCTCCAAACAGCCATCCGGTTGCCCAAGGGGCTCTCCTTATTCAGGAGCACTCAGGCTCGACCGCTTGATGAAGGAAGTTATCCCAGACAGTTAGATGCCAACTCCATTTAAGGCCTGGGCTCACGCGAGTGAAGAGCCAAAGCAAAGCAGACCTCACGCATTTGGCAAGCATGACACATGGCTGTTTTCATGGGGCTCTATGGAAACGATAGGTCAAGGTCGGCAGACATAGAGACTGACTATTATGGCTCACATGCGGATTCACATTATTACCCTTAGTTTTCATACAAGAGAACAATGTGAGAAATGTACGTAATCATTTCTAACTCTGGAGTGTTCTATTTCACCACAATTCATCGTATAGTGAATATACCCTATGCTCTAGCCTTCTGTCAGTTGGTCCATCTGTCCATCAATCCATCCACATGATCTACCTGCTTGCAGTGCTAGATTAAGAGCCTAATGGCCTGGTGTTGATGACTATATAACGGCCAGCCAGACCTAAATAGATTTGATCACCTATATTCCTCCCACGTCCCCACACTTCCCTACCTCTGCTCAACATTATAGAGTAGGCATCTCAAACTCCAGTCCCTAAATGATGCTGAACTACAACTCCCATGATTCTCTGGCCAACTAATGTACTCAAAGAGTTCTGCTAGCTGCAGGCCACCAACATCTGGGGACCAGAACTAGAGAACCATGTTATAGGGCAAGATCATGTGGGGAGCAGGGAAACAAATTAAACATTTTTTTATTATTATTATTCAGGATCAATGAGCTTATTCTATTGCATTCCATCTGTTGTGAAACAAGACTTCAAAAAGAAATAATATAATATAAACTATGCAATAAAACCATGTTGGATACTGGATTTCCACTTCATTCAGATTCATGGTTTCGGTTGCCCATATGTCTTTGCCCTTGTATTCTGATACATTTGTAGACAATGAATTGCACTGAATAAACACATTAAAAGTGAGATCATTATTAGGATTTTTCCATTTGCCTTTTTATTTTTGTACTGGATACAGCTGCCAGGACCTGTCTCTTTATTGTCATTTCTGATCTTCTAATTGAACCAAGCCCGTTTTTTCAGATACATGTTTTTCTGTTTATTTAAAGGAGACTGTAGGCAACCAGATCACTAACTCATTGCAGTTTTAGAGAAACTGTGCTAAGACTGCCTCTAGTGTAGGGGTAGGACACCTTTAGCAAACCAGATGTTGTGGACTACATCTCCCACAATGCTCTTTAGTCATAATGCAACATAGGGAATGACAAAGGTTGCCTACCCCTGCGAGTCTAGTGGCTTTCTACCAAACAGCCAGTAGAGGCGCTTCCTGCTGTTTCACAGAGTTTGACTCCATAAAAAGATGCTGGATGCCTTTATGCTTTGCTTGAGAACATTCAGCATCAGGCATAACCCCACAGGAAAGAACTGATTCAATGCTTTTCTATGGGGAAGGCCAAATCCGCATGTGCATCAGCCCCCTCGCCCCATAAGCTGACAATTATCAGGGACCTCAGAGCTGGAATGAGGTAAGTGTAAAAAGTTTTTTTTTAACCCTTTCATTGACAGAGGGTGTGTGTGTTGTGGCAGAGAAACACTTTAGTGCAGGGATAGGCAACCTTTGGCACTCCAGATGTTGTGGACCACATCCCCCATAATGCTCTTAGAGACATAATGCTGGCAAATCATCATGGGAGGTGTAGTCCAAAACATCTGCCATGCTGACTTTTAATTCTAGCAGTACGTTTTTGTCTTCCTAACACTAGTGTTTCTTTAAGTCAGTGGTGCCCAAAAGGTAGATTCCTCTGCTGTTTTAAAACCACAGCTTCCATGATTCTTAATCATTCTAAAAGCATTCCCGAGGCATGCAAAGCATCATGGGAGTTGTAGTTCTTCAACATCTTGGGTGAAATCTACCTTTTTGGGCAGCCTTGCTTTAAAAGTTACACTAGTTAAGTTATAAAAAGTACTAAAAAAATACCGAATTGAGCCGGCATTGTGTGGACACTTGGTTACTATGTAAACATGGCGGATTAAGGAATAAGGTTTTTATTCTGCTTTGGAAGCTGTACACCAGGGGGTCCTCAAACTCCGCCCCCTCCCCAGATGTTGCTGAACTACAATTCCCATGATTCTTTGAATTACATAGATAGCCAGGGAATCATGGGAGTTGTAGTTCAGCAATACTGGGGGGGAGTTTGAGGACCCCCTGTGGTACACTGTAAGCTAGGATTGCTCACTGTCAGAAACTCTGGGAAAATTCACACTTTGGGCCACAAAATGGAGAAATAATAAGCTGCTAAGAGATCTGGGAGCCATCCATGTTCCCAGGCTGTCTATCCAGGCCTACAGTGTAAGCTGGCAGTGACATGGCTGTGAATTCTCACTTTATTGAATAGCCCTGTCCATAGCAACCCTAGGCTTTAATACTACCGGGTTACTGGAGCTCCCCTCCCCCTCCCACTGAGCACAGACTTAGCCACGCCCATCCTGCGCATGGTTGGCAGCCAACAGGCAGCCCATTGGCTGTCTCCTGTAACTTGAGCCACGCTGTCTTGGGCTTCTCGCCTTCTCATTGGCTGCTTGAATCTGCCGGCACTTGTGATTGGAGGAGGCGCGCTGTCACTCGGCTTGTCTCATCCTCCCTCTCGTTATTTTCCGTCGCGATCGGGCAGTGAGAGGAGGGGAGCGATGCTGCGCTGCCTCTCGCTGGAGCTCAGGGCCCGTCACTGGCAGCCGTGAGGGACAGCCCGGGGCCTGGGAGCCGCGCGCTGGGTGTCCGGGGGATCAGAGTCTCTGTGCTCGGTATGGTCAGGCCGCCCCAGTGCGCCTTCAGACTGGGAGACCGGGCAGCTCGGTCCTGGGCACATCTACGGTAAGTAGGAGGGACCAAAATACCCCACTAACCCTCTTATAAACCCCCTGTGCTAACCCCACCAGCTGCATGTCATGGGCTGCCAGGTCCCTTCATACCAGGAGAGGCCCAAAGGAGTATTCCCCTCCCCAGCTCTCAGAACTACAACTCCCATGATGCCCTGCCAGTCGTAACAATGACACAGCCTGCTGGGAGTTGTAGTTCTACAGGAACTGTGAACTCTTCCTTGTTTATTTTTTTTTTTTGGTGCCTACTGTGTATGGAAGTACCATTTCTGCAATGGGATTGAAATGTTAGTACTGTATAAATATTTACTATATAATGTGACTTTTTTTTTAATTTTTTTTTTTTTTTTTAACACTGAATTACTAGGACTTTTTATAAAGGATTATAGAAAAAATCAAACCAGTCTAATCCTGTGATTTAATAGCCTTGGGTTCTACAGCTTTTGTTGGACTGTAACACCTATGATGCTCACCTAACCACTGCTGTGGAATATATATATTCTTCTGATCCTTTTGTGGCTGAGCATCATGGGAACTGAAGTCTGCAACTACTGTAGCACCAGTGGATAGACACCCACATCTAGTTCACTAGAGCCAACCCAATGCCCAAGTTTAGATTCTATTGTCTTTTCTCCTATATCTTGGTTATCTGCTTTCTAATACTTTTACATTCCTCTCAAAAAAGTCATGCTTATTTACTGATTTTTATTTTTATTTATTTTTTTGTAGAAATATGTGCCCTCATCTTGCAGTGTTTTACGACTGATGCTTTCTTTACGCCCCCCTCACCCTTTTTCTGCATTCTTAAAATTATAATTCTTTAAAGAAAGCAATCTGCATATGAAGGCATCTGACATCTTGAGCAATGCCTTATTATATCTAATTTTTGTCATGTACCTTCTTGGAGGTGTATAGCAAACTGAGGCAGAACCTTTTTTTTTTTTTTCTCCTCCTTTGTTCAGATTACCAATTACATCACAGAGGTTCGCTACCTGTGCATTTTATAGATGCATCCTGTCTTGGTGCAGAGCATTCTAAGAAAATGCATCTAAATATCTTCACCGTTTTAAAATGAAACCACATCAAATGGATTTTTGAAAATCCAATGGTTTGCATCCTTTTTACAGATCAGGTTTATGAATTATAATAGAGGATTTAGTTGAATATATTTTCTGACCCATTTCGCCATTGTAATCTAATCTCTGAGCAAATTTTATTATACAGTAAAGAATTGCTATTGTGTGGGTTTTTTTTTTTTTTTTTCACTTTCTGCAAATGCTGGGTGATTCTACCGTTCACTTAAAACCTATAAATGCTTAGATTTTTCTATTCTTTTTCATTAATTATGATCGGTTTATATTGCCGTTTAACAGAAATATGCTTAAATGATACTTTGTTACTGTTCTTGCATGCATATAGTAAAGCTCACAAATGCCGAATCCAAATTACTGTAATTATTGTAACCTTTTAATTTTCAGTTTTTTTGTACAGCATAAAATTCATTGGCACTTAAGGGATCACGTGTAGATATTTGTCGAAAAGTGATTTATTTTTGTAATTTTTTATTTTTGCTCTCATTTTATTCTCTGTAGCTGAATATTACATATTTTACAGGGTGAATTTGCTTTTTGAGTGTAATGATTTGTAAGCAGTGTATTTATGCTGGTTACATAATATAGATTGCCTGCAGAATTCTTGGTGCACCTCCCCCTTTCATTCATTGCCAAATACAATCCATGTGTAAAGTAAACTGCCTGCAAGTCTTTTTTATTTATTGCTCTACAAATCGAGAATTGTGCAAAATTAACATTTACATAGCTGTGTTATTCAAATGGCTGTTCTTACATGTAGAGCAAGATTCAGGTTATATTTTTGATTTGTATCGAACTATGCAGTGATGGCTGTCGCGAGGTGTTTAGTGATAATGCAGAGTCGTGTAAAACGCATTCATTCTTCGTAAATGGCTAATTCTTCTTGGCACTGCATCTGTTGTGGACCAACTTTCTCAGTGTGGATAGCCAAATAATGTGGGATTCCTACATGCTTATTCACTAAACACCGTATTGTAATTTTAAAATAGGGTTTAATAATTTAGTCTTAAAATAGCTAATTTAGAAAATTTTATAAAACTCCCTTAGGTTGCATGTGTGGGATATAATTTCTTTTTTAAATCCAGACAGTTCTCTGAAACCAAAGATCAGTTGTTGCCTGCACAATATTAAAAAAATCTGTTCTGTCCTTGTGTATAAACCTATTCAGACATGGTAAAGAGTACAGTACATCAAAACTTGGTTTGACACACTGATCTAGTAGAGTGAGCTTTTCTGCAAGCTTGCAGTGTATAGATTCTTTAATCTTCTGTTTTCTATCAGTTTATGTATCTTTAAAACCTTTCTAGTAAAATGTAATTTTTATTCTTCAAATCCCTGGATTGCAATTCTGCGCACTGTGGTAGAAACAGAGTTCATGTGGGGTTGTTGCCTTGTCCTGTTAATGAATAGGTGTAGTTCTTAATACAATAAATGTGTGGCTGTCATAAATGTTCATATTTGCATTTTAATCTAATCATGGAGTCAGTTTGAGTCATCGCTGCCATTTTTTTGTGTTCTAGCGAAATTCGGATTGGTATGTTTCATGGGTACGCAATTCTGTGCGTCTGTGTATGTATAATAGAGAGGGCCTGCTAATGGTACATAGGTGCCCTGTAGTATTAGTTTGTGCTGCAAACTCCTTCCATCCACTTTTTTTTTTTTTTTTTTTTTTTTTTCATATGGTTTCATGTGATTCTATTGGCCCTAAATAGTGCCACATTTTGAAGTATGCTGACCTAGTGTATTATGTCACAGTTAACAAATTGATCGATCAATAGTACATGATGATTTTCTCTAAGTCGGGGGTCAGGAAGTGGGTCACCAGCTGTCACAAATGTACACCTCCTGTGATACTTGCCAGTAAGACGACGACGACAACATTTCTGCAATTCTTGGGGATCTACTTTTTGCTACTTCTGCTTTAAATGTATGAACTTTGCTTCTTATACTTATGAAACTGGTGATAGGGAATATAGTTAAGACATCTGGAGTGCCATGTTTAAATGGACACTGTAGTCACCAGAACTACAGTTTAATGTAGTTCTGGTGTTTACAGCCTGTCAATGTAGGTTTTTGTAAAGGAGTCCTATAAAAGCAAGAAAAATCCCCTAGCCACCTTCCTTGCTTTTATATACGGATTTAAAAAAAATAAAAAGTTTACAAAAAACTGCAATACCTGATTATTTTGCATCTTCATTGCTGAATCAATATAGCAACTCAAATATCCTAGTTTCATTTAGGACACTGTCAAGTTTAATACCTTTTATGCAGATCTTGAGTAGTGTTTAATATTTATATCCTCCCTAGACATGCTATATGCTAAAGGTATGCCTACATAAACTCCAATTGTAAACTACCATACCCTTAATTTCCTAATCCCTATATACTGGCTGTTTTTTACAGCAGAAGCAGATTTAAATCCCATTTAAAGGACTGTATGGAGTAGGGATTAACCAATGTAATTTTCTTTTAAGGGCCGATACAGATATTGCTAAATATTTGCCTATAATTGGTCAATACCTATTATGCAATGCTGTCTTGAGCACTGCATACGGCTCCTCTAGAAGTCTGGGGCTTCTGAAATGGCACCAGCTGACAAGGGAGCTCCAGGTATCTATTTGATACTGGGCTCTTCTTGGTATGAGCAGGTATTTAACCTTCTAGACACTAAACATTAGGAAGTTCCATGCTGTTTTAATGACGTTAAAGTCCACTTTGTGGAGGATGGCATGGTGCTCTTAGCAATTACTCTGTGTCCACAGAGCTAAACTACCAGGAAGTTACAGGACAGCTTGTCTGACTGTGCAACAAGGTTTTATAAATTTGTTGAAATCTGCACCTTTTTGTAAAAGGGGAGGGGAGAGAGGCACTTCAGCAGGCTCCAAAGGTTTTGCCTGGTGGCTGAGAGTGAATTTATTGAATTTCTATCTATTTTATCCTGGAGTTAAAAATTGCCATTCATGTTGGTTATCCATGGGTTTCCAATGTTGGGGACAAAGAAAACAAGACTCCCTCTTAATCAACACAATGTATATTGGAAACTTATGATGAATGGATTAATTAAGGCCAATATGTTGAGCACAAAAGCTACCATATCTTGAAGGGACCCTGTAGTCACCAAACCACTACAGCTTAATGTAGTTGTTCTGGTGTCTGCAGGCTTTTTAATGCAAAGGCAGTGTTTACTGCCCAGGGACACTTATAGTGACAGTCACTCAGATGGTTAGTAGATGTGCTGCAACACTGCCTTTTTAGAGTTTCCCCGCTCTGCAAGGAGCTGCTGAACACTACCCATAGATGCTATTTGTCAATGTATCTTTATGAGGAGATGCTGATTGGCCCAGCATTTTGCTGCACATGCACAATAGCCTCACAGTTTTCCTGTGGAAAAGCATTGGGTTGGCTGAGATACTCAAATTTGATTTCAGTGAAGGGCAAAAGGCTGGGCCAGCTGTGACGAGATTTGTATGAGGAGGGGAAATAGGGCTAGTTTCTTTTATTTTAGGCAAGGGGTCTGGAACCTAAACCGCACTTAGAGCTATAGTGTCAGGTATACATGTTTGTATTCCTGACGCTATAGTGTCCCTTTTTAATGAAGTGAGTTTGGTGCATAAATCTTGTGCCTTATGTCTGGCAAACCGCAACTAGAGGCACTGCCTTAAGACTTTTGATTTTAAAAGATCTGAAACACTATAGTTTTAAAACTCAAACTCACCATGTAAAAGAAGTATGCTGTGGGTCACAGATAATCGAAGTGGATTTATCGTAGTACCCTGAGCTGCATTATGGTTACAAAGCTGGAAGCCTTCACAACATGGGTGTTTATCAGCTGGTTTTATTCAGTTCTAGAGATTTATCATGAAGAGCTCTCATTGAGAAGCCTTGCATGCGACTAGCCAATAATGCACTTAATACACTTATTAATTAGCTGTATTACATTTCATTGAGAAGTGTGTGAATAGCTGTGCTGTGATTGGTGCAGCCCTTCAATTCTATGTTCAACTGTAGTCCAAAGCAATTGAGGCAAGACTCTCTCTTAGACAGCCGTAAGTGTAACAAGCTAAATTGCTTTAGATGCCTGGTGTTTTCTTAACAGTGTTTAGCAATGTTTTCAAATTTACCCCTGCTATCAGGGGTAACCTCGCATGGTTCAGATGAATTAAAATGAACTTGTTGAACCAGTAACAATAAAATATTGCTTACTGCCCTATAATTCAACTTGTCCACCATTTCACTTCCTTGGCATTTAACTGTTCTATTTGTCCCGTTGGTAAAATTCACTATGAGGTGGTCAGTTATTTAAAATGGCGTGATTTACAATCTATATATACTTTGTGCTGGCAGTATTCCAAACAAATGTAAAGATCGTTTCTGTATGTTGACTGCACATGAAGAGCTGGAAAGCCCTATTAAATGCCATGCATATCATGGTTCAAACTGAATTTTCCCTAATACTCATTTGTAAAGCTGGGCTATTGTGAATAATTTAACTTTTTTTTTTTTTTATTGGTTGGCTTGTTTTGTTTTTAGAATGGATATACGCAGCTTAGTAAATTTACGTCCATCTTCCTTTGTGTCACACGGTAAGGAATAAGACCAAGTTTGTTTCCAACACTTCTAGTAACACTATTTGGGTGTCATCAGCCGGCCTGGAACTAGAGTTCTGGACTGGCTAATGACCATCATGTGCAAATTTCAGTGCACAGAATCAAATTCATTGGCTGAGTGCAGTCAGCTGACTCTCTCGGCCAAAGAATGAGTGGCTGGATCGGCATTCAGCTTCTGCAGTTCTGAACAAGCCAGATGTTCTAAATCAGGATGCTTTGTAGACCCGGCAGGACTACATAAGGGGGAGAATTGTTGTAAAATGGTTTGCCCTATTACCGAGGAATGGTGCCGGGTACTCCGACCATCATAACCACCACAGTGGCTCAAGTGATCTGGACTTCTACATTTAGGTGTCCTTTTTCAGATTTCGCAAAAACATATTTTTTTTTTTTTTTTTTTTTTAAACTTGTGAAGTGGCAGGTTCCATTAACTCTCTTCCAGCTTCTCGTGATGACCTCACTGAATAAATAGATTTCTGTGAACTGTTGCTGGCGGTCCTCTCGCCAGTGATCAGGCTGCTGCCAGTGCTGAAAGCAGTCATTTGGGCCAGCTGTTGTCTTTAAGCTGTAATTCAGTGTGGTAAAACAGGCCACTACGAAAAGCACTAATTTGTGTTGGTCACAAAGCTGAAAACTGTGGATTATTCTCTAGTCTAGAACACTAAGTTTTTAGCTACAAAGAGATCTATCTGTCTGTCTATCTATCACAAAAAACTGGAAAACTTCAAATCATTTTAATTCCATTGCCATTTCTCCATAATCATTTTGGCGAATAATTCCTATAACTTGCTTTAAACTAAATTACTGTGATCACATCACAGATTTGTAAAGTAGAACATTTTTCAATAGTTACAATGTGTCAAGTTTTGTGGAGTTTGATTGATTTATTTTATTTGCGTGTGCATCTTCTCCTTCATTGCTTGTTATAATTTGGCAAAGATGTGTATTGTGCACTTACATTTAGCTAGCAATTTCACAGACATAAGTTAGTGGGTTTTTTGTGTGTGTGTGTATATATGTCTAAAATTGCGTAGAGATGGCACTCCCAGGACTCCAAAGGTGTAAAAATAAAAATTTTCAAAATTAAAAGATCAACGTTTAAGTTTGTCACCCAAACTTTCATCAGGAATGATGCAAGTCCTGATGATGAGTCCTTTCCTGATGAAAGTTTGGGTGACAAACTTAAACGTTGATCTTTTTATATATATATATATATTCTATAATGGGGGGTTTAGTTACATTATATGATCATATATTGCATAAGCCTGCCACAATGTCAATGTACCTCATTCTTGGCAGGTCCTACTTTTATGAGATTAATCCACTTATTTAGGAAGTGCTTCCTCCTGGGATTCTCTGCAGGTCAAGGCTAGATAGGATCCTGGAATGAGGCACCTGTGACATGGAGGGGTGCAAAACCAATGAGTTGGGGTACTTCGATGTTGTGGCGGGCTTATGCAATATATGATCATATAATGTAACTAAACCCCCACTATTTTTTTTTTGTCTAGGTGAGATGGTTTTTAAATAAAACTATTATAATCTGGGAAATTTGAAGTTGAGTGAAATAAGCGAGTGCGCTGGATTGTGTATTTTGTATGATATATATCCTTTGCGGTACTAACATCACTGCAAATTTGTGATTTCCTGTGGGAAAATCAAGTCTTATGGTTTGACTGGTGTGCAGATTTTGGTTTTAACATTCTTTAAAAATAAATAAAAATAAATAAAAAATCCCTCTCCCTCTTTAAGTTTCTTCTTTTTTTTTTTTTTTTCTTGTACTTTCACAATGTCCTTGTCCCTGCAACATGTATTATTTTTGGAGGGATTGATATGCCTGTGTCAAATTAAGCGAATACAAATGGTGTAGAGGGGGACACAAAGAATGGAAGGAGAGACCTATTGCTACTTTCAGGAGTAATTAGGTTGTTTTTTGTGTGTGTGGTGTGTGTGTGGTTTTTTTTTTTTTTTGTCTTCCTTTTATAAAACCAAACTTAGGTCAAAGTAGGAATGTGTTTGACTGCTCTTTAAATATACTAAACAACTAGCATTATGAACATGTCTTCAAACACAAGTCTCTGTAAAGACTAATCTGTCTTACTGGAGTTGTTTGCAGCACAAACCCCTTTGTATCAATTTTTCTTTGCAGATCAGTGGGTGAGAAATATTTAATCACTCAAGTGGATTATTGTGAATTAAGTTGCAAAACCTAGGCCCTAATATCAAAGTTGGAATAAATCTCTAACACTGGTATTTTGGCCTAAACATCTACTTTAATGCAATACGTTTCAATTCAGATTCTTGTATGCATCCCGAATCCTAAACTCTGAACTGTAAAGACTAAGCACGTTCATTAACCCAGGGCTGTGGAGTTGGTTTACAAAACCTGTGACTCTTGACTCGTATTTTATTAATATGCAATATTTCTGTTTTACAGTTTACTGTATAAATTAATATTTTAGAATAAAAAACCCCCCCCTCAAATATGGCTTAACTAATACACTGAACATGGCCAAGATGAAAATAAGGCCTTGGCCCAATGCCTTATTGATCCTCACTACACTTTCACTTGTCTCATACTTTTAGAAATGACTTGAGTCTGTTTAGGAGTCATTATTTACTCTTTATACACAGACTTTGGGAGAACTAGCATACAACACTCATTTGGTATTGTATCATAAGTCTGTAAACGCTGACTGGCTAGAGAGACATGCAGTCACAAAATCCAACTATGCGCTAATGTTTTGACTCTGATCATCTTAAAACTTTTGTAATAAACGCCTCATATTACAGGATGTAAAAACCTTTTATGAATCTTGTATGAAACAGGATATTTTCACGGCTGCTGCCTAGCCTAGGGCCAAATTGTAATCCTAGGAGTCTGCGGGCTTAGCCTAGGCACAGAAATTGCACATCAGTTTGAGTCTACTTATCTAGTGAGTATAGGACTAAACCTATATTATACCTCTAATTTTTGGTGGTTGATTATACACCAGGAGCTATGGTACATTAATTAAATTGGTACACTACTCGGACTGCACTAACCTATGCAATTTTCAGAACCTCTCTTCACTGTTCGCCAGTCATTTTTAGTTTAATTAAATGTAGTGTGTGTAAATTTTTTTATTTTTTTTTTCTCTTCTGCCACATCACAATTCTCACCACTCTGCATATTTCAGAAGTCCTATATCAGATTTGTTCCGTGATCTCAGATTTGCTGACTTTAAAGGGGAGGGGCTATATTTGATATATGGTCCCTTCTATTATAAGATTTGCTAACCTTAAGTACCACATTCTGCCACAGTTGCCAGTTCATCACTGGCTGGGGAAACATTGGGGCCTTACTGCACTGTGCCAATCGGCATCTTCCCATACTGATGAATTAGCTCATTGTGTGTGTTTTGTTGACTACTCCAGGTAGAGCTAGACAATGCTGATCCTTGGTCCTGCAATTATTGCAGGACCAGAATAGGAAGTCTGTCTGAGTGACCGCTTAGATCTGGTCATGGATAGTATTGATTTGTTTATGTAGGTGCAAACATACTCTACCTTACGCTATAATAAATATTCTCCTTATCCTCAAAATAAGGTGGTAATGTGTGTCATCTTCCTCACGATCAAGGTGCTCTCTGTTCAAGCAATACTTGACTGCAAAATGTGGTTTGTGACCTTGATTTCTATCAAGAGGCTGCCAAACTGTCATATTTTTATGTACTTCCCTGGCTTGACCAGCTGACAAATTGTCTATAGCATACCTTGGATAGACAAGGCTATATTTTATGGTCGTATATGTATGACAAATTTAGGGGGTGATTGTAACAGTGTGGGTTAAAGGGTAATTGAGGCAGTGTGAGTGACAGGGCGAGGGGGGAGGGTTGATGTGATGGGGTGAGTGTTACAGGGTTGTGATGAATGTGGAATGGTTAGAGGGAGAAGTGTGACCGGGAGAGGGGAGGTGAGTTACAAGATTAGGGTGGTTTATGTGACCGGGTGAGAGTGGTATGTTTGAGGGATGAGTGTCAGGATTGGAGGGGTTAATGTAATAGGGTGAGTGTTATCGAATTGTGGAGAGTTAGCGTGATAAGGGAAATTAGCAGAACAATGGCAGGTGAGTGTGAAATGATTGGGGGGTTAATTTGAGAGTTGCGGGGTGATAATATGTGGAGGGTGACAGAGTGACCAATAACTATGACTCAGTTACTTATGCATTCAGTACAGAGCTGCAGACAATGTGGTCGATGTCTTGCAAGCTCCGGCACTGGAAATGTCAGAGCATTGCCCTGGTAACCCGCTGCAACAAGTTGACTGCTGGAGCTCGCTGACTGCTACTTCAATTTGCAGCTCTGCACCGGATGGAGCTTCAGATCGGTTGCTTTTCTGGACTCTCTACCCAGCACACGGTTTGCAAAACACTCCCTTAGATTGTCAGAGTGAATATCTACTTTGACCGTACAATAACTACCTTTCTCTGCCTTGCCACCACAGGCTCGTTTTTGTTTTTGTTTTTTTTTGCACTCTTAAGTTTAATTTTTACTTTAGAATACAAATAAACATGTAATTTAGATGTTTTCAGATCTATGACAAACTGTGCTTTATTCCATAACGAAGCACATATGCTACAGCTCCACTGAAATCTAGTGCTTATAATGTGAGGCACAGTCCATGAGCTTGGTCAGTTTTATATTAAACAAAGCTGAATTCTGGCATGCATTTTTTTTTTTCTTTCTTTCTTAAGACAGGGGGAGTAACGTATTCAGGAAGCTTCCAAACTGCATCATGGAATTTGTAGTTCCAGAACAGCAGGACATCTTACATTTTGTATTTAGGATCTTAAGTTATCAGAATACAATTAAGAATGTGATGTTGCACTGGGGATTACTGGTCAAGTTTGGGTATAGAGATTTATATATTTCTTGTGACACTTGAACACTCCTAATCCATAAAGTTCAGTAACAGTCTGTTTTTATTACAGATCACACATTATCGCTGGACAATAAAGTTTTATACAAGAACAGAAGGAAGTGCTAATCTCATTCTTCAGTAACTTTTCTGATCCATTTTGCCTGACAGCGGGAAGATCTGTTTTGGATTCTTAATCAGTGCAAGGGAAAAGGACGAATAAACCATGTATTAACATCTATTATTCTGAATACCTATTGAAAGAATTCCAAACAAAAGGATGGAGTAAATAAATAAGGTAACCGTTGCATCCTTTATATTCAATAGTTAATATGAAAAGTTTCAGGATAATTGAAACAGCTGTCAGTTTTTATCTATCTTAACGTAAAGAGAATGTCTTAAGGAAATTCAGGGCTCAAAATATTTTTGCTCACTCAAGCTCCCTAATATTAAAGGGTAATCCAGACGTGGACCCAGTGCTCACTGTGCCTAGATGGGTATCAGCTACACCTCGCTGACAAGGCCCAAAGAAGGCCAAAACAATTGTCCGGGTTGCTGTATCAGTCATGTAGAGAGAACTTGCCTATATTTCGGCTTTGAACTGGCCTTATTGGTGGGGATCTGTCTGATATGCAAATTGTATAGGTAAGTGAGCAGAAACTTTTGAGACCTAAGTGGGGATTTATTGGGGGTAAGGTATTTAAGGGCACTTTTTTTTGGGGACATTAAGTACATTTTTAAATTTGAGAACTTCTGAGCAAGTGGATGGGTACTTATTTACTGTGTGAAAAAAAAGTCACTCTGGAACAAGACTGGATTAAGGAATGACTGAGGTCAAGAAAGGGTTGGGTTGGGTTGTATGCCTGACTGATTTAATAACGGGAATCATGTGTTTGACTACTAATGAGAAGCTTATAGCCTGGATACTCCAAACGAGGACAAACACAAATTTGTACCTCGAGGGTCTGATACAACCGCCTATAATCTGCTAGATCTTTGTTCAAATCCCTGTAAAACCTTACAGGAGAATGCAGACTCCTCTCAAACAGTTTGACAGAAAACCATGAGACCGCACCCGAAGGCTCAAAACACAATAACAATTACAATGAGTTGTAGTGGTTATCGTGCATAGTGTCTCTTTAAAGAATTTTAAAAGTGTGTCTGTATTAAATTTTTTTTCTTTAAACCTATTGCAGTCTGTGCATAGGGGATCCAAATGGCATCCTTTCCTTTGTTTGCAAATTTTCAGACTTTTTTTGAAGTACAGACATTGATCTTAAAAGGTCAGTCTTTGCAAAAGGTTTGGGGCAAGGGACACTTTTTGATTTATATTTTATTTTTGGCCTAGACATTTAACCCCTTAAGGACCAAACTTCTGGAATAAAAGGGAATCATGACATGTCACACGTCATGTATCCTTAAGGGGTTAATGGACGAGCAGCTCCGTAGGATGAACAGGGGCCAGAAAGTAGATGTTAGGTCATCCCCAATAACAAGAACCCCTCCCCCACACACCTATTATTAAAAAAAAAAGCCGCTCCACGGAATCTCCTATGCAGAGTTCTGCTAAAGTGATCTTTGAAGGGGAAAACGCATGGTTTTTGTTTTTGCGCAAGCGAACTTAATGCGTGCCTGCATTTGCTAGTGAATTATCGTTGGTATCACCAATAGTGGGATACCAGAGGTCAAAAGTGGGACAGGGTGTTGTACATGTAGTGTATGTGTTTTTGGAGGCTGCTTGTGAGATTGTATCTATTTAGAGGAGGCTGTTTGTGTGTAAACAGGTATGTTTGTGGTGTACTATGTATGGCTGGGGGCTTTAGTGAGGGAGTGTATTGGGGGTTATAGGTGTATGTAAGGAATGTGGTTACGGGGGTGGGTATATTTTTTGTGTGTGTGTTTATAGGATAGAGGCTTTAAACCAACAGTAGCCATTTCATTGATTTGAAGTGGTCATGGTAGTAGGAGTATGTATATGCAGTGTTTTTCAGCTTAAAACTCTGCACTTGTGTGCGGAGGGATAGTTACACCCCTGGCACATGCAACTTGGGCAGCCCAGAACTCTGTTCTAGGTGCCTAATGTCAATCATTGTCACGTACAGCGTGTTGACAAAAGATTTTAAAGATCTTCTCCCTTGCAGGCGCTCTGTCAAGCTATCTCTCCTCTCCATCCCATTGTGTGCGGTCCCTACTGCTGTTGCAGAAATATAGATATGATATATATATGATTATAATGGTTTAGAGTCAGTTTTTCTCACCCTCCTCCTAAAAAGGTGTATGTGGAGTAGATCTGCTATCTGAAAAATGGACAGATCCACTGTAAAGGTATGTTTGTTTTTAGTTGCTATTGTTATGACATAAGCATATTTAAAAAAAAAAAAAAAAAAAAGTTAAATGGCCTTATAAAGTACCCATACATAGAACAACTTAAGTTCCTTGTTCATACTCACTCTTCCAGTTCTGATGTTTATTGTTCATTGGCAGAGGTGACACTGTGCTTAGGCTCTGCCCAGAGAATCGCAAATTCAGGTAACTTGAACAAGATAAGTGGAATTGGTGGGTACACCTGGAACATCCATTTCTCCGTAGTGGTGATGCCTTAAAGATCAAAATATATACAGACCAAGGAACTGTGCACGCCCAAAAATATAGTTTCATAACATTTACAAGGCTACTTAAAAATCACAAAGTATGTGTGCTAAGATGATTTTAAAGCCCCACTAAAGGCACCCAGATCACTTCAGCTCAATGAAGTGGTCTGGATGCCAGGTCCCTCTTGTTTTAACCCTGCAGCTGAAAACCTAGCAGTTTCAGAGAAACTGCTTTGTTTCACTGAGGGTTAATCCAGCCTCTAGTGGCTGTCTCATTGACAGGCGCTTCCGCGATTCTCACTGTGAAATACACAGTAAGAAGATGCTGGACGTCCATAGGAAAGCATGGGCTGTTTGAATGCGCGCAGCTCTTGCCGCGCATTCAGATCTGACTTCGGCAGGAGGAGAGGTCGCCAGCGCCGCGAGTGCCCGGCACTGGAGAAAGCCAAGTGGCTGAAGGGATTTTAACCCTTAGCGGGAGGGGTCCCTGAGTGGGGTGGGGGGGGGCCTAATGACCCTATAGTGCCAGGAAAGCAAGTTTGTTTTCCTGGCACTACAGTGCTCATTTAAGTAGCCTTGTAAAGTTTTTAGTGTGTGTGTATTTATACTTGCTGGCCTTATCCATGGCGGCTCAACAATGGGTAGCTCCTCGTTCTCCCCTAATTAGACAGGAGCCAAATATTCTGTCTTTTTGTTCCTGTCATGGCACCCTTTTTAAAGCTCTAAAGTATGGCTCAGAAGTTGGTCAGCTGGCTCTGCTTCTAAAAAAATCATTGTGTGAACAAACCCTTCTTCCACAAAAACACACTCTTACCGAGATTCTCATATAAGCAGAATCAAAGAAGGCCATTTTTTCTGTCATATGGTGGCAGTAACTTCTGGGGTTTTGCTCCTCCCTGTGGACAAGATATCTAACAAGTAATTTAAGATCAAAAGACCCTCCCCATGCCCTATAAAATGCCGTACCGCAAAACCTACCCCAGTTTCCTTTCTTTTGCCAATAGGGAAGAACAGGACATCCACAGGGTGAGACACACGGGCTGTCTTTCTGGGGTCCGATAGCTGCCCAGGCGGTATGCTGAGAGCTTCCTGGAGCCGGAGCTCGTTTCTGAGCAGGCGCACAGCGGTGGAACGCACGCCCGGGTGGTGATGCGTTCCACCTAAGCTTCCGCATGCGCTAAAACGCATGCGCAAACCGGAAGCTTAAAGGTACATACAAAAAAAAACGTGAAAATTTTGAATTTCTGGTGTATATAAGAGAGCTGTGCAGGTACCCACTGACTGCATGGATGCAGGTCAAAAGAGGTAAGCCGTGTCACATGCACCTCCACACGGCTCAGAGGTATTTTGAGGTAAGATTAAAAGAAGTCTTTACTTTAAAATATTCTCTTGATAATTTATAGGAAATATCAAACAATCTAAGCCTCCGTTTATATTTTCTCACACAGATGTCTAGCCAAGCTTATCCTGAGATGGACAAGTCAAAACTGGGTACCTTCATGCCTAGAAAGGTTACAGTAAAATCTAAACCTCTAGTTTGCAGTGAATGTGCAACTTCTCTTCCAGACGGATCAAGGAAGAAGGTGTGCAGTCAGTGTACTGCAAATTCTTTGGAAAGAGATAAGCAAAAAGAGATGCTATCTTTCCTAACCTGGTTCCAAGAAAACCTGGCCCAGACCTTGGAGACTATTAACGAGTCTAAAAAGGTGGAATCCCCTATACAGCAAGGACATCAAAAGATCAAGAAAAGAAGATCATCGTCTACATCTGAAACGTCATCCGTGGAATATATATCTTCAATAGATTCAGATGAGTCAGGATCCTCAAGTGAACCAGTGGGGTTTCCTTCGGATGAAATCCGAAAATTCATAAAGGAAGTTAACCTGACAATCCTACCACAAGTCCCTGAGAATACTAAAAAAAAAAAAAATTTCTGTTCAACAAAACCTGGTTGATCTAATATTCAGGGAATGGAGAAACCCTGAGAAACGTGCCTTTATATCCAGACACTTTAAGGATATCTTCAGACTGGCTGGCGAAGTTATCTGGGAAGATCTCCCAAAAGTAGATGTTCAGGTGGCGCAGATTGCTAAAAAAGACCACTATCCCTATAGGGGAATCTTCAGCTTTAAAGAATCCATTGGATAAAAGAGCCGAAACCTCTTGTAGGCGAGCTTACCTGACGGACGGTTTTCAATGCAGGGCTTTACTGGCAGGAGCAGCGATTGCCAGAGCTAATGGCATTTGGCTAAATACGGTACAATATATTTTATCTTCTGACCAGGTTAAAGAACTTAGCCAAGTGCATGTTCTGAAACATATGGCTTACGTATACCTTTTGCATATGTCGGTAGAAGTTCTTAAATTGGCATCCAGATTTATGGGATTGTCTTCGGTAGCAAGACGAGCCTTATGGTTAAGGTCTTGGACGGCAGATTCGGCTTCCAAATCTGTCCTTTGTGAGCTTCCACTAAAAAAAACAAATTTATTTGGGGCTCCTTTTTAGAAGAAACTTATCAGGCAAATGTCAGAAACCAAAAAGGTGCTTCCTCAGGATAAGAAGTTCTCCTGGAGATCAGGTTACAGGAATTACCAGTATAAATATAGGAGATCTTATCAAGAGAGACCGCATTTCTTTCAAAGAAGGGATAAAAATCGGAGATTTGAACAAAGGGGTGATGTTAAAAGAACCTTCAGAGATGGACGTTTCTGATGCCAGAAGTGTGGGAGGAAGGCTCCAACAGTTTTTTCCAATATGGGGGGAAAAAAACCACAAGAAATCCTTGGGTTCTAAGTCTTATCCAGCAGGGACACAAGATTATATTTACGGAGAAACCAAGAGCAAAGTTTCTGTTATCAACCTACCAGTCTTCAAAGAGATCTAGCCCTATATTTTCAAACCATGCTTCTGTTTCAAAAAAGGGTGAGTACCAGTAAAAAAAAAACATTTTGGGGAGTTTATTCAAGATTATTTCTGGTTTCAAAACCAGACCACTCTTTTCGTCCCATTCTGGATTTAAAGAACATAAACCAGTTTATCCCTTATCAAAGACTTTGTAGGGAGTCAATCGCTTCTATTTGTCCTCTGTTACAAAGAGGCGACTTTATGGTAAAAATAGACTTGAAGGATGCTTATCTGCATGTTCCAATTGCTAACGCTTCAAGAAAATTTCTAAGATTTGCAATAAAAAAAGGAAGATCCACCGTTCATTTCCAGTTCAGGACTCTGCCGTTTGGTCTGTCATCCGCCCCAAGGATATTTACAAAGATCCTGACTCCTCTGACAGCTCATTTGTGGGAATTGGGAATATCGATTATCCCTTATTTGGACAACTGGCTTCTCATGGCACATACAGAAGAACAGCTGCACAAGGACCTGCAGGTCACTATCAGAGTTCTTCAAAACCATGGCTGGATCTTAAACCTAAAGAAGTCAGTTCTCATTCCAACAAGAGAAATAGTTTCTCGGATTCAAGATCAATTCAGTCTCATGTCGCTTTATCTTCCCAAACGAAAAAGGAGGAAAATCCGAGAGGCGATTTCCAATCTCCAAAGGATGGAAAGTTGTTCCTTCAGACAGGCCATGGGTGTTTTGGGCCTTCTAACTGCCACCTTTCCAGCAGTCAAATGGGCAAGATGAGAGGTCAGACCCCTACAATGGAACATCCTGACTACCTTTTCAAAAAAGGAGGAAGATTTAGACACAAATTTCTTGTTATCCCCTCAAGTAAAGACTCCGCTTACTTGGTGGAAAACCTCAGAGTGCATTTCAGGAGGATTGTCTTTTCGTCCAAAAGACTGGATAATAGTCACTACAGACGCTTCAAGGACAGGTTGGGGAGCTCATCTAGGCTCCACCATGTTCCAAGGAAGATGGTCATTCAGGGAGGCGAAGGAATCCGCAAATTTCAGGCAATTATTAGCAGTTCTTTACGCTCTACATCACCTCAGGCCTTGGTTACTACAAAGAGCGGTGAAGTTCCAATCAGACAATCGTACAGTAGTCTCATATCTCAATCGCCAAGGAGGAACCAAAGTAAACAAGCTTTACAGTCTTTGTGCAGAAATTATGGAGTGGTCACAGAGAAATCTGGAAGACATCTCGGCAGTTCACATAAGAGGCAGCGACAATATAATAGCTGACTATCTAAGCAGAGGGAAGTGGGATCAAAAAGAATGGTCTTTGAACCCGGAAATTTTCAGAATCCTGACAAAAAGATTCGGCGTTCCAGATGTAGACTTGATGGCAAAAGCTTCAAACAAAAACGTTTACAACTTCGCCTCCCTATTCAGAACAGATCAACCCAATTGGATAGACGCTTTATCGATAGAGTGGAACTTCCGTCTGGCTTACGTGTTTCCACCTCTGCCTTTAATCCCAAAGGTCCTTCTCAAGATACGAACAGACAGAGCGAGAGTATTGGCAATAATCCCATATTGGCCAAACAGTCTGGTTTTCGGCTGTAAAGAAGATGGCCATCAATCATTGGGAACTTCCCAGATCAAACCTTCCTCATTGTGAACAGGAACCTGCCCTTGAAAGTTCTAGAAATATTCAGGTTGACGGCTTGGCTAATGCAAGGCTAATCCTTCGTAACCAAGGTTTACAAGAAGACAGAATAGTGGTCTTGCTCCACGCTACAAGGAAGTCTAAGATATACTTTAGGATTTGGTCTGTTTCTTCACTGGTGTAAAGAACACCTGTGCACAGTTTTGCATCCATCCTTAGATAACATTCTCCATTTTTTACAAGACTGTTTTGCAGCTGGTCTGGGAGTCTCCATGCTCAAAGTTCAAATATCAGCATGAAGTTTTTTTTTTTTTTTGGCCTCCAATGTTTTCATCTGAAGATTTTTCAGGTCCATCAGCCTCAAACGACTGCCTAGGTGATCTGTGTTTCCAACTTGGGATTTAGCCATGGTCCTACAAGCTCTTAGTGTTCATCCCTTTGAACCTTTTGGAGGAGGTTCCATTAAAAATTTTGTATCTTAGTTTCATTTCTAGTAGCCATCACGTCGGCTAAAAGAGTGGGAGAACTTCACGCTCTGTCCTCCTCGGATGAATTCACAATTTTTCACAAAGACAAGGCTGTTCTTTATCGAAGACCGTCTTTTCCAAATAAAGTTTTATCTTCAAAGAATATTAATCAGCCGATTATTTTACCTTCATTTTATAGCGATCCTCAAGAGCTCAAATGGCAGAAATTGGAAGTCAGAATAGCTTTATTTGTATATCTAGCCATAACAAAAGAATTCAGAATTTTGGATCATCTATTTATTAATTTTCAGGGTCACCTTAAGGGGAATGTAGCTCCCCGCGGTACCTTATCCCGTTGGCTCATTCAAGCTATAGAATTGGCGTAATCTACAGCAGGTCTTTAGTCTTCAGCTACACTTAAGGCCCATTCTACCCGAGCAATGGCTACCTCATGGACAAAAAAAGCACTTGCATCTCCAGAGGTCATCTGCAAAGCAGCATGCTGGTCATCTTTTAACACTTTTATCAAGCACTATCAGCTAGACATATTCTCTGCATCTGAAGCAGCCTTTGGGCGTAAGGTGTTACAAGCTGTGGTGGCCTAAGTCTCGCCCAGATGGGGATCTTGCTATATCCCAGAAGTTACAGCCACCATATGACCGAAAAAATGAAATTTTTACTTACCATATTAAGAAAAAAAGAATTTACGGTGGCAGTACTACTTCCCTCCCTCTTTAATAAAGAATTTTTGCAGTATATATATTTTTTTTCTTTTTCTTGTCACGTACTGGGGTAGGTTTTGCGGTACGGCATTTTATAGGGCAAGGGGGAGGGTCTTTTGATCTTAAATTACTTGTTAGATGTCTTGTCCACAGGGAGGAGCAAAACCCCAGAAGTTACTGCCATCATGTTAAGAATTTTTTTATTTTTTTTTTATTTTTTTTATGGTAAGTAAAAATTTGTTTTCCTTTCAGGATAAAGGAAAAAGGATAGATTATGATGCCATTCCTGTAGGGGGCAGACTTCTGTTATTCAAGACCGTATGGAAGAATACTACAACAGACAGTTGGGTCCGGTCAGTAGTTCAGAGGTTACAGTATAGAACTTATAAAAATATTCCTCCAAGAAAATTCCTCTGTTCAACTATACATTCACCAGACATTGTGGCAGTTTGTCTCCAGCAGGTTGGGGTCTTATGGCAGGAAAATATTACAGAAATTATTTTAAAAGAAGAATCTAAAGGTTCTTCAAGAATATTTTTTTTGGGGGAAAAAGCCAGATGGTTCATTCCGTCAAATTCTTGATTTTACCAGTTCATGCTTCAGATTTTGCATGGAAAACCTCTTCTCACATAATTCAACCAGGTTCATGGTTATATTCCATTGATTTGCAAGATGCATATCTGCAAATACCAATAGCAGAAAACAGCAGAAGGTTTTTAAAATTTGCCATTCAACATCAGCTTCTGCGTTTCCAAATCAGGGCCTTGCCCTTTGGCCTATCTTCGGCTCCAAGAGTCTCTTCCAAGTTACTCGTGGTTATCAAGACAGAATTACGGAAAAAATGTCTCCATATCTTACCGTACCTGGACTGGTTACTTATAGCATCTTCAGAGCAACAAATAAGACTTCAGAAGGGCAACCATGACCCTTCAATATCATGGCTGGATTATAAACAAAAACAAGCCAGTTAACCCCATCTCATTCTATCTGTTTTCTGGATCACATTTTAGACTCTATTGAAATCGAGATTTTCCTTGCAGAGGAGAAGATACACAAGATAAGTCACAATTATCAGCTTGCAAAACAAAAAGTGTTGTGCTTTGAGACTTCTGGGTCTGTTCGTTGCCACAATTCCAGCCGTAATCTGGGCCAAGGCACATCTAATAAGACCATTGCAGAGGCATATCCTCTTGTCCTGGGACAGGAAAACTAAATCTCTAGACCAGTCCATGAATTTGAGCTCTTCGACTCGACTAAGCTTCCATTGGCTGATGACTTCACATTTCCTTTCAAAAGGTCTTTCTTTCCCACTCAAGATTTTTGTTCTGGTAACAGATGCATCAAATATCAGATTGGGTGTTCACACAGGTTCAAAGCTGACAAAAGGTATTTGGAACCTGCAAGATGCAATGATATCTTCTAACTTCAGGGAACTGACCGCAATCTGGTTGGCACTTCTCGTTTTAAAAAGGCATCTGATGGGCCATCACACTCAGATAAGGTCAGACAATTGTACCGCCGTATCCTATGTGAACCATCAAGGGAGGACTTGTTCGATTCCTCTGGAACAGTTATGCTCCCAACATAATGCGTTGGCCAGAAATTCACCTGTTATCCGTATCTGCAGTTCACATAAAGGGAGAAACACTATTTGCAGACTCTCTCAGCAGGAATCATCTGAAACAAGGAGATTGGTCTCTTTCTCCTCTGCTTTTTCAGGAAATTAGAGAAATTCGGTCTTCCAGTGATCTCATAGCCTCCAGGGAAAAAAAAGAATACTGCTGATTTTCGCTTCCATAAATTCAGTGGACAAGCTGCTTGAGTTACTTAGATTTTAAAGGACCACTATAGTGTCAGAAAAACCAACTCTAGGGGGAAAGGGGTTCTACTCCCTCTTTTGCCGCCAGAGCTGCACGCATTCAATCAGTCCATAGGAAAACATTCTCAATGCTTACCTATGGACGCTGGCGTCAAGCGCCGAAGCGTCTCTACCGACTCTCAATGAGACAGCCACTAGAGGCTGGGTTAACCGATATGTAAACATAGCAGCAGTTTCTCTGAAACTGCTATGTTTAAAGCAGGCAGGGTTAGCCCTAAATGGAACTGGCACACAGACCAGTTCATTAAGCTGAAGTGGTCTGGGTGCCTATAGTGGTCCTTTAACATTTCTAAAATTGGGGTTTGCTAAAGGCCTTCATCCTGCCACTCTGAAGGTCCACTTCACTATTAGTTTTTTTTTTTTTTTTTTTCAGTATTCAAGAATTTGCTTTTGGATGCTTTTATTCAGATTTTATCTTTTTAGAGCACTTTCTAGACCCCTTCCTAACATCAGGGAATTGGTTCACCTTGGAATTTAATTGTCCTCTCTGCTCTTTGTGAGGCACAGTTCGAACCCTTGGAGTCTGTCAGTCTGAAGTTTCTTACATTGAAGACCATATTTTTGGTTGCAGTGACGTCTGGGTGAACTTCAGGCCTTGGACTGTTCTCCTTTCCTAGTATTTTACATTGATAAGGTGGTCCTGAAACTCCATACTTTTCTTTCTAAAGTGGCCACCAACTAATATAAATCAGGAAATTGTGCTCCCTACATTTTGTCAGAATGCTGCGGAACATAAGTTCCATTGCTTGGCTGTTAAACGCCGCCTATAGTTTTTACATGGAATGGTCTATTCCATTTTGGAGATCAGACAGATTGTCCTTTTCCAGGCTAAAAATAAAGGTTTTATGGCATCTAAAGGATCATTGGCAAGATAGATTAAAGAAGCTGTTGTATTAACATACCGTTCTTCTCATATGTCGTCTCCTCCTCTGAATTTAAGGGCTCATTCTACCATAGCTGTTGCTACCTCGTGGGCACTAAGAGCTTCGGCTTCTCCTTCACAGATATGCAATGCAGCAACTTGGTCGTCTCTACATACCTTCCCGAAACATTATAGGTTATACTGGCCTCTGAGGATTCTATTTTTGGGCGTAAGGTGTTACAAGCCATTATGAGGTGATGTTTCCTGCCCTTAAAGGACTATTATAGGCACCCAGACCACTTCAGCTCAACAAAGTGGTCTGGCTGCCAGGTCCCCCTAGTTTTAACATTGCAGCTGAAAACATAGCAGTTCCAGAGAAACTGACAGCCACTTGAGGCCGCCTCTGCGATTCTCTGTGCGAAAATCGCATTGAACTCACGCTGGACGTCCATAGGAAAGCATTGAGTAATTCTTTCCTATGGGCAGTTTAAATGTCCGTGTGCCTCTGGCCGCGCATACGCATTCAGCACCACTCGGGAGCTGATGTCGGCAGGGGAGGAACGGTCACCAGTGCCGAGGGAGTTTAACGCCTTCAGTTCAGTGGGAGGGGGGGACCTAATAACCCTATAGTGCCAGGAAAACAAGTTTGTTTTCCTGGCACTATAGTGTTCCTTTAAAGGATTGCTTGTTTATCCCTGTTGTAGTGCACTGCCTCTGATCTGGAGGGAAAAGTTAAAATTTTACTTAACATAAATTTATTTTTCCTTATGATTAGAGCCAGTGCACATATTTCCCACCCTATTCATAAAAGATATTTTTGCAGTTATCTGGCTTTTGTATTTATTGGAGTTTTAGGGATTCCAGGTTGTTTTATACCTGTAGGAGGAGGAGCCTGGGAGGAGTCTTCAGGATTACAAATTGGGTTGCCTGCCTGTCTTTCCGATCCAGGTTAGAAGAAATCCCTGTTGTAGTGCTCTGCCTCTTAAGGGGAAAAAAAATTACTGTAATTTTCCCTAGCCCTTAAATTATGCATATCAAATTTGGAAGATATTGGAGATGCCAGAAGTTGTTGTTCTTCAATTATTGACCATGTACAAGACATTAAGCCTGCTGTGGTCTTTACCTCATAAGTTTCGATGAATTTGTTGAAAGCCTTTGCTAGGAATATGGCACTATCCGTTTTCTGCTAGGAAAGATCTCTGGCTCAGATCATGGTCTGCAGATACGTCTTCCATAAAGAGTCTCTGCTCTTACTTTTCATAGGTATATGCTTTTTGGCACGAATCTGGATGGATACAACAAAAGAGCAGCAGAAGTGTAGTGTGGCAAAATATCTTCTGACTAGTCTTATTTTTAAAGACAACAGACCTGGGAGAAAATATGGAAGAGCCCAGCGCTACAATTGGACAATCTTCAATCAGAAATGGAAAGTCCAGGGGTAACTCATCTACCAAAAATTCCCTTTTTAGATCTCCACGGGCTCAACGGATATTTAAATATTAAAATTGAGTCTCCTCATTCCATCATAAGTTTTGTGTGTGTATTTTATCTCCCCTCTTCCTTCTTCCCTGCAGGTAATGAACTGTCTTCTTTCCCCCTGCACCCCTGGTCCACTTCACATTTATTTTATTTTTTTTTTTATTTTTATTTTTTAACGTATTTTGCCAAATAAGCAAAAACAAAGGTGAAGGAACCGCTTTATATTGTTTTGCAACTAGCAGGTGTATATCTGGTAGATTCATGGTAAACTTGGAGATGCCCTGTGTAATCTCCACACTAGGAACTTGAAATTGCTCTGAACATGGGAGTTGTATTATAATTACACTTTTTTTTTTTTTTTTTTTTTTTTGCGTTTAAAAGTTCCTTTTAGGCTCCAAGCATAGCTCAAGGTTTATACCAACCTCACCTCTTTTTTTTTTAAACATGTGACTGGAACTTAGAGGAAGAGTCTAATTATTGTATGATCTAGTGTAGTGTAAATATATAGTTAAATAACAGAGTTTCATGTTTTGTAGTACAACAAGGTTTGCAATAAAGTGAACTTTAGGCCTGGCTATCACCACAGCACATCTATTTATTTGAGACCAGTTTTTCTGAGGAGGCAAACGCCTCCTGATGGGGGGAGGGGGTGGGAGAAAACAACCTTTCCCATAAACCAACATTCTGGTCTGTTCTTTTGATAGTTGATGGGAAAGGTAGTTTATTCCATCGGGAGGCGTTTACCTCCTCAAACATAGATGTCCTGTGGTGCTAACCAGGCCTAAAATTCACTTTATTGCAAACCTTGTCGTACTACATAACCTGTGTGAATGGACAGGATGTCAGCACCTGCAGCAACTTGCCTGTAATGTGACCTATGATTTAAATACAGTAACACAAAGCACATATATTGTTAACTTTGCTTATTAACAGTTGTTAGAAGCGTTTGCACTGCTGTTTCTATGAGGAGGGGAGAGGAACTTTCTTGTAATTTCTCTACCCTATAAAGCGGTCTGTTTTGTGAAGCCTGCCAGGCTGTTATTTGCAACATTTTAAAGTACCCTCTCCTTGGTTCCTGAGTTGATTTACAGATGGCGCCTGGCATGCTGATTTCTGAAGTCTTTACAAACCTGATGTAATGTATTGTTTAATACCACTCTTGATTTCTGCAAATATCAGTCATGCATCCACTGTTAATGCGGCACTGTCATGCCGAACTGTTTTTCCTATTGTTTTCTCTTCTCTTCCTCTCTCCAAATCTGTTTTCTTTATTTCTGATCTAGTTTTCTTTAAAACATAAGATGCTTCATTCACTATTTCCCAACGTCTGGTCATGTAGATAGGGCTCCGAAGGATTGACCGAATTTTGTGCAAACCGAATGCCCACAGTTTGCCCATTTATGTTCGCATGAAAGTAGCTCCCTCCTTTAATAAGCGAACACAGAAGTGAAATTTTGTTTGTTCTTTGTAACTTTTTTTTTTTCATTCGTCTTTCTGGCGTAGACCTTCCCGTCCAAATTTTAGTTAATAGCGAATGACCAAGTGTTCAACTGGGCATGGGCAGGAATTTCACTGTGTTATCTAGTGTGGGCAGATGACGTGTCTCGCCGGGCCTTCATCTGTCCACGAAGATGGCGTTGTCTAGGACCAAGATACAGGCATGAAATAAAGAGTTAAAAAGTAGGGGAATTTGGGAGTGACTAGGGGGACAATAAAATGTAGTAGAGAGGGGATTAATAACAAAACAAACTGATGCGGCTATGACAATGCTGTTTTAAGCGACTACTTGTCACAGACTGCTCTGAGGATGCACAGTGAGTAGAAAGGCTATGTGACCTGACAGCCGCTGTGGCATGCCATGGCTAGTATAAATTTATACATTTCACAGTTCAGATTAGTAAACAGGGCTGTCTGTTGCAATAGGTAGAACCATGGACCCCACATGCAGACTGCATCTTGTCTCTTTCCTGGAAAAACTGTGAGCTCATTCCAAGCATGTACTGTATGGGAAAAAATTACATTGGCAGACTACTGACTGAACACTATACACATGTATGTATTTTACATGTCCATTTAAGGCTGGACAAAACCTACCACATAAAGGGATTTAGCTAACTAAAGAAAGATTGCCAGCATCAGTACAGAGTCCACAAGGGAACTGAGTAATCTGTACAGAAACTGATCCGAGAAGCCAGCCCCCCTCCGCTCCCAGTTTGTAGCTAAATGACAGAGTGGGCATCTGGCATGCGGCACCCATTCAAGAATGGTACTGGTAGGCAAGACCTGCTCTGGCTGGAGGCATGCACTCTGTCACCTGGACTGCCCCATACCTTGGTAGACATGGGTATATAATGTGTTGTGTATAAAATGTTTTTCTATTTTTGTTTAAATGTATTTTCCCTCTTTTTGTGTGGGTTTTAGTCTGTCTCCCTCACTCCTCTAAATGCATAGTTCTATGGGGGCAGTCATACTGTGTATTATGGTGTGATTGTACCTAGCTAATAGTACAGGATCATAAAATATGATTTGCCCTTTGAAATAACAGCCAAACTATGTTACAGAACACTGGAGTTGAGCCAAAGGTTAGAAGTCAGACATAAATTTTCTTCAATCCTTATTGAGTTCAAAAAAGTGGGTTTATTTCAGTACACAGATTAATAAACCACTTTCTACTTGAAATTAGCCATTCACTAACCCCCAACAACTGCTCACATAAAAGTATTAATTATAAATTTATATATGGTGTATACATTTTATATTAAAATATATATTTAGTTAAATTCTAGCTGCTGTGTAATGGAACACTCAGATTTGTTGTCCACTTACTGATGTGGTCAGTCACTGTGCTAGGAAGAGCGTTTCTATTTTGATGAAACATTTTAACCATGTCCATTCCCCATTCAGACTAATAGAACAATTCTCGAGTTCTAGAGCTTTTCACGCAATGTAATGCCTGTTTTGCCTAATGTTTCTCCTCTGCTCTCGCTGGCATATCAGGAAGTGACAACCTTAGACCTGTGTATCCCATTGCTGCATGGATTAGGGACCCCTTGTTTCAGTGTCCCATCCTTTTTCTTGCCAAGCGTGACATTACACTTGGCAAGACATAATGTGTGTTAATATGCGTGTTGAAATATATGTGCACACTTATTGCGGTATGTGTATAAATGTTATGTATGCACATTCAAAAATGCATAAAATGTGCAGGTTTTTTACATTTTGTATTTTTGAATGTGTATCTACAACATGTCTTAAGGTACAGGCTGAAGATGTACTTATGGTCACTATGACAGGGCTCGACAAATCTCAGGCGCCAGGTCACCATGGCGATCGGGAATTTGTTACTGGTGCTTGGGGTATTTGCCAGCCTGTTTGCAAAGGTGCTTGCACCCTCCGCATGCCTGCTGTTCTCCTATTTTTGGCCTGCTGATGCTCTCCATGAAGCTCAGATGTCGGGGCTCTAAGACACGGCTCCGCATAACGTGTGTCGAGCATGCGAGATCACAACATTGCGCGATCGTCTAGTAACTTTGCGTTAAGGAATGGTAGAACGTCGACTTCTGAAGGAGTTTAAAACAGCGATTTCAAAAGTAGTGGTAGAATCGAGATCTAGGTAAGTCTTTTTTTTTTTTTTATTATTTATTTAGTTTAATTCCCCATTTCCACAATAAATTTTGTATTGGCAGTAATAATTATAATGGCAGTAATAATAATGGTATTAATTATAATAATAATGTAGTCATTTATAAATTTTTTTAATAATTAACAAATAAAGTAATAAAAATAATAAAGCCGTAATTATTAAAAAAAAAAAAAAATGAATAAAGCAATAATAAAATTTGTGTTCTCAAAGTGAATTTAAATTGATATGAGGTTATATTGCTATGATAGCAAAGTAATTTTTTATTTTATTTGTGATGTTATTGTGCTCTCCTCATGGAATCTGCGTCCTGACACTGTATAGAGCCTGATGTCACTATTTCCCTACAATTGTTTATCTAAAAAAAAAAAAAAAGCACACTTCTTTGACCAGAGTTAAGCCAAAGTGAAATACAATATTTTAATTTGTTTTTTTTAATAATTTTTTTTTGTTAACTTGAAATAAAGTGATAATGTTCTTCTTACTAGCCTATTCCCTTATTAATTCCTTTTATCCATCTTCATCATTTCCCCCAAAATAGCCATCCTCAAACCTTTTCCTCAAAGATCATGGATCAGTTTATTTCTCCCAAAATGCACAGTAACTAACTGCTGTTGTCCAGAAGTACGAGATGTGACATATGCAGGTTGATTCAATGATTTTAATTTTTTTATTTTTTTTTTTTTAAATCTACTTCGGCGTCCTAAAAAGTTAATGGGCAAAAGTTGAGAGGCAAACCTGCGTGCATCTGTAAAGATACACATCAGGGTTATTAACAAGAAGGGGTGCTGTGCTTTTAAAAAAAGTAACCTTTTTGGAGACCATTACAGAAGTATTAACGTACTAAAATGCAAGTATCTTTCTTTGGAAATTAAGAAAAAATGAAGCGTACAGCAAAAGCTGCAACATCAGATGCAAAGCAACTGTGGATGATACATTTCTTGTTTGGAAAGTGAAGTGGAACTTGTTACTGCAGAACCAACCTGCACAAGAAAAGTCCCCTTCAACAAGTCACTCTCAAAATGCTGGAAAAGGAAGTTTAAGCAAGATTGGTGCAAGGAACTCACGTGGCTAAAATGTGACCATAACATGTGCTTTATAGTCATATGTGAGATCTGGGATTGCCGAATAAGCATCTAAGTGTGTGAAAGGGGTTTTCAGGGCCATTTAAACTGGAGACCTTCAAAAAAACATGGAAAGTCTCTCCAGCATGAAAAATGTGTGAAGGCAAAACATGCTCTGTTGGCTCCAGAAGCTATGCCATTGGCTGCATGTGTTAAGAAAATGGATCAAGGGATGTTCAACCACATGAACCTTCTATTTAATGTGGCTTATTATACTGCAAAAAAAAAAGGCCAAATACAGATTTAGAACGTTTTCTAGAGCTGACTGGGAAACTAGGGATTGCTGTGAGAGAGGAGTATGCAAGTGACCAGAGATGCAAGGAATTCATCTCCTATACTGCAAATGTAACGAGGAAAGAACTCCTCTCCGAGCTAAAGAAGGCAAAATGTCAGTTTGATGCTTGACTGATCAATTGATAAAGGAGGCGTCGAAGAGTTAATATTGTATGTCAAGAACCATAAGATTAAAGCATTTATATCAGTCCTACCTCTAGAAATGGTTACTGCAGATGGGTACTTAGAAACCACCACTAAAGACTTGAAGACACATGGCCGCTTTCTTCAAGCAAGCTGATTGGATTTGGTACGGATGGTGCTGCCGGCATGATTGGAGCTGAAAATGGACTGGTACAGAAAGTACGGCAAAATCTCACACGTAATTGGCAATCACTGTGTTGCACACAGATTAAATTTTGTGTATTCAGCTCTGTGAAAGACGGAAAATGCATTGATGGCCTCGACTCTGTTTTTAAGAAGCTGTACCAATTTTACCAGTATTCACCCTAGAGAATGTCAGCCGAAGCAGGTAGCTGATGGTTTTCAGACAAGTATCCTGAAATTTCAGTACTTGCATAACATAAGATGGGTATCAAGCAAAGTCAGTGCTCTCTCTGCACTTGTCAAAGGCTGGAAATGTGTGACAGTACACCTTGAAAGTGTTGCTGCAGAAAGACTGTGCATCTGCAGTTGCACATGGTTTGTTAAAGAAACAAACGATTTTAAATTTGTTCGCATGCTCCATTGTCTATTTACTACCTTGAAATTAAATGGACACTATAGTCACCTAAACAACTTTAGCTTAATAAAGCAGTTTTGGTGTATACATGCCCCTGCAGCCTCACTGCTCAATCCTCTGCCATTTAGGAGTTAAATCCCTTTGTTTATGAACCCTGGTCACACCTCCCTGCATGTGACTTGCACAGCCTTCCATAAACACTTCCTGTAAAGAGAGCCATATTTAGGCTTTCTTTATTGCAAGTTCTGTTTAATTAAGATCTTCTTATCCCCTGCTATGTTAATAGCTTGCTAGACCCTGCAAGAGCCTCCTGTATGTGATTAAAGTTCAATTTAGAGATTGAGATACAATTATTTAAGGTAAATTACATCTGTTTGAAAGTGAAACCATTTTTTTTTTTTTTTTTAAGCAGTAAAATTGCAGGGGAATGATCTATACACTAAAACTGCTTTTATTTAGCTAAAGTAATTTAGGTGACTATAGTGTTCCTTTAAGAACCTTTCCCTTTTATTTCAAAGGGAATAGCTTTTTTTTTTTTTTTTTTAAAGCACAATTTCATCGTTAAAGCTCTCCTCATGCTCTTTTGGTACATCTTTGAGTGAGTTTGTCAGTGGAACATCACTTAAAGGACTGTATCAAAACATACAGTTGCATGGACTCACTCATACTGCAACTTCTTCGATCCAACATGAAAAAGACAAATTGATTCAGCATGGTGTTAAAGTGGCACTGTCATGCTGAACTTGACTTCCTCTTCTCTTGATTCCTCTTCTCTCCTTCTGTCAGGATCTGTTCTTCATTTCTTCCTGTCTGCTCTAGTTTTCTTTAAAACGTAAGACAAAGTATGGACTATTTGTCTTATGGAGGTTTCCTACGCCTTATCTCTGACCAGCAGTGGAGAAAAGTGTGCTTAATTTCCGGTGGTCAGAGCAATTTTTCCACAATTCTCACTTTTCCTCAGTGTTCCCACGAAGCCTTCTTTCACTTTTCCTGAACATCCTGTCATTTAGACAGAATGCCGGCAAAACTACCGAATTGTGTCCTAACAGAATGAGAACAGTCTTGCATTTTGCAGCGGCTTAGTAGATAACTCACTAATTCCCACGGTATTAGGGAGCTATCTATCAAAACGCTGAAAGACCTAAATTGGTCTTTCAGACAAATTTATTAATACTAAGTAAAGATGACTTGGTATTGGTAAATTCTGCCCCTACTCGCGAGTAAAGGGCATGTCTCTTAAACCCTGAGCGGCGAGTGGGGGGCCCTAAATAACATGGGGAGGGTGTTATTGTCCTCCCCACCCCTGAGCCATAAATAACAATGTGCAGGGGTACGGACCTATTGTCCTCCCCCTGGCCCCACCCCTGAACAGCTGGTGGGAGCCCTAAATAACAGACCAATTGTCCACCCCCTCCCAAGGTGACTAGGGGTCCCTAGTCACCCCCCCACCCAAAACAAAAATTAACCCCTACCTACTTCCTCACCCAAAAATAGTGAGCTGGGAAAAAAGAACAAAATACCTGTGGGTAAAAAAAAAAAAAAATCAATAAAAAAAGAATTAACATGAAAACTTACCGTTTGTGTTTGTGTATTTTTTTTTTTTTTTTTTTATACAAGTTAGGGAATTATGGATTTTTATCTGGCCTTTTTTGGGGCCAAAGTAAGATTTTAGAAAAAAGACTTCAAATGGGAAGTTTATTTAATTTTTTTTTTTTTATATACAATGAGTGGTATGAATTTAAAGTCCTTGGCAAAGAGAAAAAACTTTGGCATTCCCCAAAACAGACAGATTTCCAGTTTTGGGAAACTTGTCTATAGTGTCTGCGTTGCCTGTCTCAACCGCATGTTGCGAAAGAGGATTCATTTTAACCCCTTAAGACCGGAGTGCGTACAATTACGCCTTATTTTAGGAGGCTCTAAACGCCGCCGAGCGTAATTGTACGCCCTCCGGTATTTACTTACCCGGTCGCTGTGCGGGGACTCCCAGGGAGCCCCCCGTGGCACGTCCGACCCCCTGGAAGCCCCCCCGGCCATGTTAGAGTGAGGTCCTTGCGAGGACCCCACAATCACATGGCCGGGGGTAGCTGCCTCCTGCATTGCCAGCAGGGGGGCTGCCTGTAATGACAGGTGGTCCCCCTGCTGACTGGAAATGAAATTAAAATAAATTAATTTAAAAAAAACTGTAAAAAAAAATAAAAATATATACTTAGATTATTTGTGTATATGATTTTTTTTTTTTTTTTATATATATATATATATATATATATATATATATATATATATATATATATATATATATATATATATATATATATGCGCACACGCAGTGTCTAGGTGTATTTTACTATTTATATCTATATATCTCTCAAATATAAAAAAATTTAATATGTAAATACGTTAAAATATATAGATGTGTTTCGTTGTAACTGTATTGTGATATTAATATATATTTATATCAAAATACATGTAGAACGAAATAATATATACGTATATATCACTATATATACCTATATATAAATAAAAATATTTTATAAAAATTATATACACATATAGATTCACATACGTGTGTATTATTTATATATATATATATATATATATATATATATATATATATATATATATATATATATATATATATTTAATTTAATTCTACATATATATTTATGTAATATTTTTACATAATTAGGTATCTTAATTAATTACAATTAGCGGGACCTGCCTGACAACCCATGCCGAAAGTAAAGGGAATTTAATTTGCTAGCACTATATTTAACCCTATAACTTTCCAAGACACCATAAAACCTGTACATGGGGGGTACTGTTCTACTCGGGAGACTTCGCTGAACACAAATATTAGTGTTTCAAAACAGTAAAATGTATTACAACGATATCGCCAGTAAAAGTGACGTTTTTTGCATTTTTCATGCACAAACAGCAGTTACACGGACAATATTATTGCTGTGATACTTGTTACTGTTTTGAAACACAAATATTTGTGTTCAGCGAAGTCTCCCGAGTACAACAGTACCCCTCATGTACAGGTTTTATGGTGTTTTCAAAAGTTACAGCGTCAAATATAAGGCTTGCGTTTCATTTTTTCACATTAAAATTCGTCAGATTGGTTACGGTGCCTTTGAGACCCTATGGTAGCCCAAGAATGAAAATTACCCCTATGATGGCATACCATTTGCAATAGTAGACAACCCAAGGTATTGCAAACAGGGTATGTCCAGTCTTTTTTAGTAGCCACTTAGTCACAAACACTGGCCAAAATTGGCGTTTTTTTGCATTTTTCACACAAACAAATACTAACGCTAACTTTGGCCAGTGTTTGTGACCAAATGGCTACTAAAGACTGGACATACCCCATTTGCAATACCTTGGGTTGTCTGCTATTGCAAATGGTATGCCATTATGGGTGTAAATTTCATTCCTGGGCTACTATAAAGTCCCAAAGGCAACGTAACCAATCTGGCGAATTTCAATTTTAAACGTAACTTTCCAAAACGCCATAAAACCTGTACATAGGGGGTACTGTTTTACACGTGAGACTTTGCTGAATACAAATGTGTATTTTATTGCAGTAAAAGCAAACAGTATTGTGACATTGACAGTTAAAATGTCATGTAGAACTACAAAAATCAAGTCTTTTCTCCTATTTTTTTCATATTAATTTGTTTCATAGCTAAATATTTGATATTAAATGAAAACCCTGTTTCCCCTGAATAAAATGATATATAATAAGGGTGGGTGCATTTACTATGAAAGAGTTGAATTACGGTTGGACAGACATATAGCGCAAATGCCAGGTTTTGTTTACATTTTGTTTCGTTTTACGTGTACATTTGGCTCCGTCCTTAAGGGGTTAATGAACTTTAAAAAAATAAATAAAAAATAAACTCAGATCATAGTTTTTCCTGGAACTGTAGTGCACTGAAGGTGCCCTCACCCTCAGGGTCCTCCTCCCGCAGGGAGGTAGGGGATTAAACACACTCCTTTCTCCAGCGCCGGACTCCATCGGTGCTAGGGACTCTCCTCCCTCTTCTGATGTCACTGGCTGAATGTACGTGCATTCAGACAGTCCATAGGAAAGCATTCTCAGCTAAGTCAATGCTGTCCCATAGGTAAGCATTAGGAGGCTATTGCACATTCTCATCATAGATGCATTTATAGGGACTCTCCAGTGCCAGGAAAACAATCAGTTTCCCTGGCACTGCAGGTCCCCTCCACCTCCCATCCCCGGTTGCTGAAGGGGTGAAAACCCCTTCAATCACTTAACAAAGGCAGTGACATGTCACTTGTCGCTGCTTCTTGGTCCACCGCCGCTCCTCCCCTTCCTCACGCCCGCTGGCTGGGGAGACCTAATGCGCATGCCGCGCACGCGCCTTAGACCTCTCCATAGGAAAGCATTAAAAATGCTTTCCTATGGGGATTTTGGCCATGCTGGAGGTCCTCACACAGCGTGAGGATGTCCAGCGATGCTATAGCACAGAAAACCTGTGCTGTGGACCAGGAAGTGCCCTCTAGTGGCTGTTTAGTAGATAGCCACTAGAGGAGGAGTTAACCTTGCAAGATAATTATTGCAGTTTATGAAAAGGACAATAATTACAGTTGCCGGGTTAAGGGTGTGCCTGGAGTCTCCCTTTAATCAATGCATCTCTACATTAAGCGCAGAGTGTGGAGACGCTGAAAATAGGTGCTGCACACTGCAGTACTGGAATAGGAAGCACCTCTAGTGGCCGTCTGAGTGACACCAGAATCACTAAGCTGCAGTGGTTCTGGTGACTAATGTTCCTTAACCCCTTAAGGACACATGACGGAAATATTCCATCATGATTCCCTTTTATTTCTGAAGTTGTGCCCTTAAGGGGTTAAAGAATTGTATTTTTTGTTGCTGAAAATGAAGCTTTGTTTGTTTAAAAAATAAAAAATCAACCCCCTTCAGCACCGGACTGTTTTGGCCATGTTGTACGTTAAAGATCAGAGCTGTTTTTTAACACTTTTTGTGTTTGTGGTTAGCTGTCATTTTCCTCTCTCTCATTTACTGTTCCCATACAAGTTATATATTGTGTTTTTTTTTTTTTAAAGGACAAAAAGGGCTATCTTTACATACCATTATTTCTATCATGTCATAAAATTTAATTTAAAAATAATATATGGTGAAATGTAAAAAAAAAAAAAATATATATTTTTCTTTTACTTGAAAAATCTTTCTGATCTACAAAAGCTAATGAAGAAAAAAAACTGCTAAATAGATTCAAAATTTTGTACTGAGTTTAAAAACACCCAGTGTTTACATGCGTGCTTTTTTTTTGTGCAAGTTATAGAGCTATAAGTACAAGTAAGATATTGCTGTTTCAAAACCTACATTTTTAAAATTTATCAATCGTGACATTGTAACACTGTTATCTGTCATAAACCTCTGAAAAACACCCCACATATACCGTGTGTGTACGTACGCACGCACAACCCAGGATATCCATTATGTGGTATGACCAGTCTTTTAGTAGCCACTTAGTCGCAAACACTGGCCAAAGTTAACATTTATATTTGTGTGTTAAAAGTGCAAAAAACAATTATGAACGCTAACTTTCGACAGTGTTTGTGACTTAGTGGTTACTAAAAAAGACTGAACATAACCAATTTGCAATACATTAGGTTGGCTTCTTCTGCAAATGGTATGCCATCATGAGAGTAATTCTCATTCCTGGGCTAACATACGCTCTCAAAGGCAACATAACCAACCTGGCAATTTTCAATGTAAAAATATTTGACCCTGTAACTTTCAAAAACTGTTTAAAACCTGTACATGGGGGGGTACTGTTGTACTTTGGAGACTTTGCTGAACACAAATATTAGTGTTTCAAAACCGTAAAACATATCACAATTATCATCAGTGAAAGTGTTTGTGTGTGAAAAATGCAAAAAAGTCACTTTCACTGACAGTATCATCGTGATGTTTTACTGTTTTTAAAGAATAATATTTGTGTAAAACAGTACCCCCCCCACCCCCCCAAGCAAATGAAATTCTCTGGACTTTCCGCCTGGGTTGTCCCTCAAATTGCAATCCATAAAATGACTTGATTATGTAAAAATATTTAAATACATTACGCACGTAGATTTTAAATATATTTATTATACGTGTATATTTGTGAAGTTATTTATGGAATTATGTATATGGAGGTGTGTGTGTGTGTGTGTGTGTGTGTGTATGTATATGTGTGTGTGTGTGTATATATATATGTGTGTATATATGTGTGTATATATAATATATATATATTTACACAATATATAGTTATTATGTGTTTAAGTATTTTTGAATTAATATATGTATTAATCTAAAAATCCACTTAGTAGGATAGATATATATCTAATAATGAATAAAGATATTATTTTATTTTATAAATGAAGGGAGACTGTCAGTGCAGGTAGAGACTTGGACACCTATTGTGACTGCTCTGAGCGATCACGTGGCTGCAGGGAGACTGCCTGGGCTGTCAGGCAGTTTCCCCACACTAGGAGCAACGCCGATCGGGGAAGTACATATTACAGTTATGACTGTTCAGGATCCTCAATGGAATTTTTCCGATGACGGTCCTGAACAGTCACCGGTCGGGAAGGGGTTAAATAATTGCTCCTAACTTTTTTTTTTTTTTTTTTTTGGCTCGTAGATTCCAAGCAAATTTTATCAAGCCCTGCTATTATATATTTTTCTATATTGGTTTCTCTGTTTAGTAAATTATATTTTCCATGCAGGTGGGATTGTATCTGGCTGCATAGTTTAAAAACAAGCTTCTGATTTGCAATAAAGATTTGCACTATTGTCAGCTGTGTCTAGTTGGAGCAGAGAGCCCCAATTGTATCAAAAATATATTTTCTCCATTTTCATTTACCCCATCACATATTGTTTCCTTGCTGTATGTGTCATTAGAAGCACATTATGGGTAGTGGTATTTTGTGCCCCTCCAATGCCCCTTGCTGTAGCATACATTGCAGCATTTTCTTTTCAGTTGGGCAGATTTGGAAAGGGAAATGCTGTGAGAGGGACTTCCGCTACAATTCAAAGCAAGTGAAGCAGAAAACCCTCCCGGCTGTCTGGCAGTGTTACTAAGGGGATTTATAAAAAAGCTGATTTCTCTTAAAACTGTCACTTTAATAAAATGAGCCAGATGGGGCATGCAATCAATTACTTTTATTGGTAAAAATAATTTTTCAATAATTAAAAAAAAATGCAATCCACATGTTTAACTTTTTTTTTTTTTCTCCTTTTTTTTCAGATAAGTTGATCAATGGATAAAGTTGGGAAAATGTGGAACAATTTTAAATATAGATGCCAGAATCTCTTCAGCCATGATGAGGATGGGAGCCAAACCGACATTGTAGATGTTAATGCAAACAGGTGTTTGAGTGGAAGCTCTAAAAATGATATCCCCGCCAGTCAGGGTCACCTACAGTCAATCGTACCTTTTCAGGATAACACTGCTTCTGAAGTGAGCTTCAGTTCATTCAGTAGCATCAGCAGGAGAAATCAGAACTGTGTGACTGAAATGCCTCAGCTGGTTGAGATTAGCATTGAAAAAGAGAACGAGTTAGGGCTGAGTGTGGGAACACGTCTAGCGCGCAGAGACTCGTACACCCGCCATGCTCCATGGGGTGGAAAGAAAAAACACTCTTGCTCCACCAAAACTCAAAGTTCTTTTGATCCAGATAAAAAAATAAATCGAACAAGAAGCAGTTTACAAAGGAGAGAGAGAAGACACTGCGTAAATTCCGTTCACGATGTGGAGGCAGTTTCGATCAGGGCAATAGGAAGCCGTAGTTTACGACAGAGGCTAAATGAAACTGTAGGATTGTGCTTTCCAATTAGGACTTACAATAGGCCATCAAAACCCCTTTTTACAAACAAGAGAAAAATTCATCTGTCTGAGCTAATGCTTGAGAAATGTCCCTTCCCCGCTGGATCAGACCTAGCCCAAAAATGGCATCTGATTAAGCAACATACAGCACCTATCAATCCGCACACAAATATTTTGGACACATTTGAGCAGTCTGTGGTTTCTACTGAGGACGAAGAAGATCGATTACGTGAAAGGCGTAGACTTAGTATAGAAGAAGGTGTAGATCCACCTCCAAATGCTCAGATTCATACATTTGAAGCAACAGCACAAGTTAATCCTGTATATAAGCTTGGACCAAAATTAGCAGCTGGCATGGCAGACTTGTCTGGGGACAGTAGTACATTGTCACAAGGAGGGTGTGAATCTGAAGAAGATACTACAACGCTCTGTTTGCAATCCCGTAGACCGAAACAGCGTCAGGTTTCAGGAGACAGCCATACTCAAGTGAATAGACAGGGGGCTTGGAAAGTTCATACACAGATTGATTACATTCACTGCCTTGTTCCTGATTTAATTGAAATAACAAGCAATCCTTGTTATTGGGGAGTTATGGATCGTTATGAGGCCGAAGCCCTGTTAGAAGGCAAGCCCGAAGGCACGTTTTTGCTCAGGGACTCTGCACAAGAGGACTACCTATTCTCTGTGAGCTTCCGCCGCTACAATCGATCTTTGCATGCTCGCATTGAGCAGTGGAATCATAATTTCAGCTTTGACGCTCACGACCCGTGTGTGTTTCACTCCTCTACAGTCACTGGGCTTTTAGAACATTACAAGGATCCTAGCTCCTGCATGTTTTTTGAACCCTTGCTCACTGTACCTTTAAACAGGACTTTTCCTTTCAGTCTGCAGTATATCTGCCGGGCAGTGATCTGCAGGTCTACCACGTATGACGGAATTGATGCACTTCCTATGCCATCCATGTTACAAGACTTCCTTAAAGAATATCACTATAAGCAAAAAGTCAGAGTACGATGGCTGGAAAGGGAGCCCTTTAAATCAAAATGAAAGCTGCGTTCTGTGTTCTCCAGTCTCTTCCCTGCCAAGATCTCTCCCCCATAGACTTTGCATATGCTTTGCGTATGACTTAGTAGAGAACCTGCTACCTGTATTTAGAGTTAATTCAGTATCACACACTGAGCTTTATGTGTTTTGAAGTAATCTATATCCTGCTTGCAAAAAAAAAGCTTGTGCATTCTTGTGAACTATGAAGCAGCGCATTAAACTGCATGTTCTCATGAATGCTTAGAGTAACCGCTTACATTTCCTTCCTTCGTAGCACCCTTGGGATGTGAGGTGCCTAAAAGTGTTTTTGATTTTATTTTTTGTTTTGTTCCCCACAAATATTATTCTACACAAAGGTGCTGTAGTTGTAAATGGGATCGATAATGGGAAAACATGTCTACTAACAATGTAATGGTCTGGAATAAAAAATGTTTTTTTTGAAAAGGTTACTTACCTGGCCTGGTAAGCTATGGGTGGAACCTAACAGGTTGTTGAACTGAAGGTAAAGTGAATTTCACTTAACATAATTTAGGGCTTTGTATATCTGAAATCTTAACTTTGCCACATAGAGAAACGTTGGTTCAGAGGAATAGAAATACTTATGCATATATTATGCACTTGTATTAATTAAACACAAACTTGTATGAATTATACACAAAATTGTATGCACAACTTTTGCTTTATGCTGTGAAAAAGCTGAGATTGGATTTGATATAAAAATGCTGGTGATTGATTCCCTTTAAGTTTCTTTTAAAGCACATCACCAGTTATAACACGGTAGTCTATAGATTATTGTGGAAATCCCTAGGTCCCTTAAGAAATGTGCAGTAGATTGCCAATCTGCCTAGCTGTTGATGGATTAGGACTATGATTTGAATGATTTTTTTCATTAGCAGCAAGATTGTTTTTAGGTTGTTATACATCCAAGTGTCATGTATGCTACATATGTGTGCAGTCATGTTACTGGCATATGTGCGCTCACACAATTATGTTATCAGCAATATGTATCCTTAGATTCCCAAAAAATCAAGGTAGTCATAGGTGGTGCTTAAGTTCAGGTGTAATACCTGTTTGGAGGGGAGTATTTTAATTATGGATTTAATTCATTTGTATGTATGACTTGTGCCACAACACTTTGTTTAATTAAGCAGAGTTACTGCATAACAGATTTATTTTTATTTTTATGGTGCAATAAAAAAAAAATTGCAAGACAGCGTGGCTTCCATGGGATCCCCACCTCCTCTCTTCCCCTTATTACGTTTCATCATATATCGTCTGTAAGATGTCTGTGCAAGGATCTTGAATTTATGTAAACAAAACGTGATTGTAACCTGTAAAAATGTTCCAGATTACTAGTTACTTCAGTAACCCGCATATACTATATTAGAGCATATTATGTGCTGTAAATATCCACACATACCAAGCGTCTTGCAATACTTCACATTTGTACTTATCATTCAAATGCCATTTAAAAAAAAAAAAAAAAAAAGCGCACCTTTTTTGTATTTGATAAATATTTCTCATCCATAAATTCTAGAGCTTTTGTTTCTGTAGATGTTTAAGGTACTGTACATTTTTTTTTTTTTGCAAACTTAAGTATTTTGTAAGACTGCATCGGCACTTTAAGCCTCTTGTTAAATATGGGGCTATTAATGTACTCTGCTACGTACCTGTATGTAAAACAAAAAAGGTATACTAACAGGCGTAGCACTGTGCAGTATTGACAATGTTCTCTAGCAGAGCATTCTAAAATGCTATTTTTATTTTTTACTCTATGACTTATTCTTAGCTAGTTTCTCAGAGCTTGAATTATATCCCAAGTCTTTAAGCAAACTGCTACATATTATGTAACCTTCTATGGATTTTAGATACCTTGAACTGCATTTCTGAGTTGGCACATCTATACGCAAATCTAGAGGTTTTTTTCCCCTGCTTCCTGTGCCTTTTTTTTTTTTTCTTCTGTTTTTGTTCATGGCTACAACCTACTGTTTTTGGTGTTTTTTTATTTATTTTTTTATTTTTTAAGCTTTTGCTATTATGTATGCACAGTTGTTATAGTTGACCTCCTTTTAATTGAAATATAAGACGACTTGCATAACTAATGCAGAAATAGCATGGAGAAAAAACAAACAAACTTGGCAGGACATATGTTTTGTAACCAACAATTTACTTTTCTGTTGTGTAGGGGCAGGGGGTCATTTGCTTTAGTTGCTCTCAATATCTTCTTTCATCGGAAAATGTCTGGATATGGTCTTGTCTTTTATTCTTCTCTTTTTGTTCTGGAGTGTGTGTCATTGTATCCCCATATATCTGGCAATATTTAATGTGAAGTGAAAAAATTGGTTCCAAGTGTAAATTTTAAAAAAAGTTAAAGCTTTGCTTGATTTAAATTTGTTTTTAAATCTTTTCTTTCATAATGCAGATTTTTATTTTTTTTACTTATTTCTACATTTAAAATTTTTTTTTTTACATTTGTCTATTTAGAGCAGTCCATAAAGAACCCCCCTCCAATTACTTTATATTGAACTGGATTTGCCAGCCCTAGTATAATGGTACACTTCGCAATTTGCTATAAGCTAAATATTTGGAGCCATCATGCTTACCCTTAATTGAATGAGGATCTGTGGTGATGACATCACAATCCTGTTATATTGCAGTAAAAGGTTTAAAAAGTCTCCATGACCAAATAGGTGTTTTGGGGGGGGAGGGGAAGGGGGTTTGTTGCAGAAAAGCTACATATTTAAAATGTAAGTTTTTATTTTTTAAGTTCATGGATTTTTTTTTTTCTATCACTAATATTGTATTGGTTGAATGTCTGTGTAATTTATAGCGCCTGTCAATGCCAAGAGGGTATTTCAATCATTCATACATATACCAAAGCTGATCAGATTTATTAATGCGTTTATATGCAATTGTGCAGGAACAATTCTATATTTAAGTGTGCACTTTAATTGCTTTATTGTAAAATCGGAAATGCTGTCATGGATCATAAGGTTTTATAGGGAAACATTTTTTGTTTTCATGCATTTACAAATATGTAATCCTTTTTGTTTACTAACCCATTCACTACCATTTTGATATAGGTATTTCAAATGAATGCTCTGCTACAGGACTTTTCTGTCCACCCCAGCAGAAAGAATAAGGCTAAATGTCTCTAAAGCTTCACTTACTCTAGAGATTCCAGTATCTATCTGTAAAAATGTGTATGTGAACATGTAAATTTTTTAACCTCTGTGTTCCAAAGGGATGGGTACATTGCTCTGTATCCCCCATTATATGCAATGGTTAAGATCTAGTATCTAATTTTTATGTCCAGCCATTGTGATTGTACAGTACATAGAAACCTTTTATTTCAAAGTATAAAGCAGAACTACCATATGTTTTAAAATTAAATAATAAAAAAAAAATCACCAGCATGAAATCGAACCACATCTGTATACTTGTATTTATTTTTCTTGTAGTTCTTTTCGTTTGTGGTAACCACGTACTGACATGATTACATGTTGGTGTGAAAAAGCCTCACTTAAGCTTGTTTGAAAACACAACCCTGTGACCTCTGGATAAGTTGGTCACACCCTTCTCAATTGCAGTTTCCAGAACTTTGAATTTAAAGGAACACTTCTAGTCTGGTCCCGATCAGCTGTACTCTAGAGTCAAGATTGATGACATTTATCCAAAGAAATGCTTCTCGTAGAGGTGCACTGCAGACATACAGCGCATTTGTGGGCTTCTCCACAACCCTCCATTCCAGTGCTTTTCTTTAAGAAACGTTGAATCCAATGCTTCAAATAGATTTATTGGATGGTACACGCAGTGTTCAGACTCAGCATATTTTGTTTATTTTCTTTGTCCAGAATCAGCATGAAACCTACTTAAGAACTGAACTGCCTAGTGGTTGTCTGAAGAATTACCACTGCTTGGGACATGGGGATTGCAAAATGTAAACAATGCTGTTTTTAATAAATGTTGGGCAACGCATGAAAAGTGCTTCCCTGTATGTATATTCTGCAGACAGGAAATCAAACTACCCAAGTAAGTTAATGAGTGTCTTCAATTTGGGAGTGTTTCTAGGTTCCTGAAACACCCATGTGGATCTATGCCAGGCCATTTCTCCATGTTTTGTGTCCTGTCCTCTAAACCCATGAACAGTAATGCTTCTGATGCTCTCCAAAATCTCAATGAAAGCACATGCTATACAGTAACTCAATGCAATCCTGCCACACTACCCCCCTTTCCTCATTGACAAGAAGCCACCTGATTTCAAACAATTTTTTTAAAAAGCAACAAAGACCAATATAAACTCTGCCATTCTACCAAAATAAAACGCTTCAGCTCCCATAGCCCGCCACGGCAATACCTATGGCTCTGATTTAATTGAATCCAAATTAATGTACCAAAGGACATTTGTCTTTTAAAAAAAGGACTTTAAGAAGACATATGGAGGATTGGGTTATATTCATAGTAAATGCTTACTACCTACTATAAAATCCTCAAAATTGAGAAATAAAACTTTATTAAAAAGAGTTCCAGGTTAGCGTTGAAAAGATATTGGCTGTGAGAACCTCAGCATTGCCAATGGTTAGTACTTCTCCATTCTTTGAAAACACTCTTCATTCTTGAATTACAGACTGGTTTTTTTTTTTTTTTTTTTAAACACCGGACTCATAACTAAGTTTGCATTACTTTCTTTAATGAACTCAGACTATGAATAGAAGACACAGGTGTAGGAGCATAAAACCAACTAAAGGCTCTTGCATGTCTTTTTTGCCTCACAGGTGAGTTTTTCTTGTTGCTGGCTCTTGCAGATGTATGTATGTTATAGTATATTTTTTTTTGTGGTAATTTCATATCTTAATTCTTTTCTCCTTGATACAGTCTATAATTCTTCTGCTATTTATTTTTTTTAAATCATCTTCTGCCTCCATTTCTTTGTGGTGATTTGAGGTTCGCTGACTCTTACCTGGCTCGTTCTGCTGCTTGTGTTTTATCCCACAGGACTTTTTTTTTTGGCCCTTCCTCTGGTGGGGTTTTGGGTGTCTCCGCTTCCCTTACCCACCACGCTGCTCCAGGGAGTTGTTAATTATTTTAGCTCTTCCTCGCTACATGTGACGTTCCTTGGCTCTTTTGTTTGGGTGCATATAATGTATTGCATCGGCCCGTGCCTCAATCCCATCTTCTCACACCACCTTGTTCTCCCAGTAAGCGGTCTATGTCAACCATGCATACCCTCGTTCTGCAACCCCTTTTTACTGCCACTTTAGCAGATTAACCACAGGTGGAACCCTAGGCATACTGGGACCCCCTCTTTTGTGCCAGGGGGTGTGGGCAGTGCTCTCGCTAGGTTGTGTAGGCCTCCATCTGGAAAGTGTGGCAGGGTGTTCCTCTTAGTGCTAGTCCCTGCTGGCCCTCCTGGGTATCTAGCTTTATTGCCAGAAGGCCTTGTCTGGGCCTGCTGTCATGCCACTGCATTTCTATTGGCTATGTGTGTATTGGCCCCACTGTTATGTGCACCCTACCTGGTGTCTGTGGCTCTTCCTGATATAGGTGGGTGAGCATCATCTTGCAGACTGGTGTATGTCCATCTACGGTTAGCACCTAATCTCTCACAAAATAGTTATTGGCATGCGGTTTGTGAGTGTGACTGTCACGCTGACCTCATGGCTGAGGAGCAGGAATTTATTATCCCTGAAAATTATGGCTGGCTGAGGGCATACCGGACTCTCTGCCAAAGGCATTGACTGCATTCCCTGCTATGTAGTCCTCTGCTGCCCTTCCCGAGGGCTCCTATTGCTCTGAGAGGGATGGCACTATATAAACATCATAGCATTCCTGCAGTTAAAAGCAAGGGGTCTGCATAAATGTCCAAATTCCATGATTCTGTGGACCTTCCAGAAGATCTGCCACTACTGGATTATGCCAGCTCTTCAGCTGAAGATTTTTCCTCCTGTCAAGGAGAAACCACTAGTGGTCAAATCACACTTCATTCAGGATGTTTATGTGGGTGAGCCCTAGTTACCAGCAGTTCAACCTTTTAAAGGGCAAAGGCCCTAATCTGCTGAATTGTTCCAGCACAAATGATCCAGAGACTCTGCAGGCTCACACCTCCATTGTACTTTCACCAGCTCCAAGACATGTACTTTGTAGAGAAATCAGTTAGTCTGTCCAATCTCTTAAATTTCTGCCTAAACAACCAGGTTTAGTGTGGGCAGTCAAAGCTTTTGTCTGCCAAACAGAATACAGAGGATGGAGCTGATAATCTACAGAAAAGTTAAACAATAAAATAATGTAATACAGTTTGAAATTGGTTGCTGTGCGCCAAATTAGGTATAATTCTAGCGACTGAATAATCTAAATTTTATTAGACAGGAAGCGATTTTATTTTTTTCATACGAAGATGTGGTAAAAGACAATCCTCAATTTAAGCATTGTAGCGCATAGAGGAAGTTATCTCAGATCCTTTCCTCCCAGCACTTGTGAATGGGAATCCACGCAGTAGAAGAGCAGCCCACAGCTGCTGTTGCAGCTCCTGTCTTTGACCTGTACCTAGCATGCCTGGTCCCCACTGGAACCCAGGGAAGCCACCAGCACTGCTAGATATACACAGAAATGCAGAATAACCCTCTCCTCACACAAATAAAACAAACAGCCCACAAACAAACATACACACAATCCAAGAAAAACTCAACACCACTAACAATCCACATACATGCACACAACCCAACATGCAGCCTCTCACATGCAATACCCCAAACAGTCACTCACACTCACTCTATGTGACATATCCACCCACACACCATTCCACAACCAGCCCTCCTACACAGCCCGCATTCATAGGTATCATACACGGTACCACAAACTACTAATGGACATATACAATATAATAGCTCATATACACACAAATACAACGATACAAACCAATTACAGTAAAAACACCTCAATTTAAAAAAAAAAAATAGGGCCGGAACACTACGGGACATCACAATCCTATATTGGCACAGTGCTGCTAAAATGTTGCCTACCCCTGCTCTAGGACAAGAGAAACACAACTTAATATCATTTTGATGTGGAATTTAAGACACTCTAACTCTGAGCTAGCTCCAGTGTAAGTGGTTTAAATAAACTATTTTTTCCAAATCAACATGTGTTCAAAAAACTAGACTAGCCATGGGACTATGTCTTGGTAAAAATGCAAAACTTAAAACCGTAAATTGGAGGGGGCAGATCTAACCATGGAACGGAATGGCCGCATTCTGAGAGAGCTCCGGCTGCCATTGAAGGGGATCCGTAACCATCGGGCTTATTAAATCAAAATGGGACGCCCCAAACGCTCCCTGGCATCACAGCAAACCTCCACCAAATACCCGGCTGGGAAATCGGGGGCTCTCAACAAGTTCTTCTGTGACAATGCGGATCACCATGTGGCCTTGGTAGACCCCAACATGGCGCCGGAGTCATCCTATGACAGATCAGCCCCATCGAGCCAGTGGGTTTGGATGGCTCCCTCTTCCACATAGTGTGGCAGCATGGCCAGGCTCTTCACAATAAACTTCAAATGCAACAGTAAGGATAATATAGTACTGCAGTTTATTGTCACTTTCCACAATATATACAAGGTTGTGCTCTCCCACAAAAAGAAAATAAATTCTACTCCAACTTGGAGACTTACTAAACAACAATATTACTAACTATTCAACTGACCAGCTAATCTGGTTCGCAGTTTTAAACAAAATGAAATACAGCACTTTAAACAGGTTTTACACCGTTTCTTTTTCTCAGAGTCTCAGGCTTAACTGCCTCCTCTCTTGCAGCTGTTAAATTCCCCCATGTCTTCAGAGGCTAACCTTTTAAAACCCTAGTGCTGGTTAATTACATTCACCTGGTTGATAACATTCAAGGGGTGACTCCCACCAATTAACCCCATCATGCTGGAAATAGAGAGCGCTCCAATCTATTACTAACATAAAAAGCCTTTCTGACCCTGCCACAATAGATACTGACCTGAGGGAAGTGGTCTGAAACTTACCTTCAAAAGGTGACTTGGCAGCCATGCTTAAAAATCTTGAAGTATCCTTTCAAACGCAAACTGTAAGCCATAGGTGCAGACATCCGCCATGTTGGTGACAGGGTAAGCACCCCTGATAATGAAAGCGATCTCTCGCGTCCAACAACTCCACGCTACACTGGAGTTACAAACCTCACAATTATCCACCATGCATAGAATGATGGACGATATTGGTAATAGGAGAACGTGCAATAACCTTCGCATTAAGGGGCTTCCCGAACACGATCAGGAAGATGTACCTTCCACACTCACAAAACTCTTCAATTTAAATACACCTGCTGACAATCCTATCTTGTTTGAAAGGGCTCATAGAGCACTGCACCCAACAAGCGCTCCTCAGACTAGCCACGAGACGTTATCTGTCGAATCCACTTTTACATCATTAAAGAAGAAGAAATATTGAGGGCCCTCTGACAAACCACACCACCACTGTACAGTACTAATCCCATACAAGTCTACCTGATCTGTCTTAGACCATGCTGCAGGCACGAAGGGCCTTAAGACCGAACACGGACTTGCTCCGGGCCAGGAATATTCGCTATAGGTGGGGGATTTCCTTTCGCCCTGATAACAATCCACAGGAGCAAAACCCACTCTGGCAAACATGAGATGTAGCCACTTTCACCCAAGCCCTGTAGTTACCGGAGGTCCCGATCCAAGACTGGTACAGCCTTACTCCGGCTCCAACGTCAACCCACCTGCCACAGTGCCAGTGGTGGCAAAGTATAACTGGGGGGGAAAAAGTGAAGGTGACATGCCCACTGGGTCGAGATCACCTAAGCGACACTAAATGCCTGGCTGGACTGGAACTGTCTGTTCCTAAATTATGATTGAATCTGCTGCGCTGGGGATTAACTGGACCTCTACCACACCGACATGATCACATCCCTATATGCAATCCCCTTTAAGAACCGTCCTTTTCACTTTTATACTTTTTTACCCCCACAGTTTTTTTGACCCATCCCTCTTTCCTGGATTGCATGTACAATAGATTTGGATGATAACTAAGGGATGGGTCTGATTCACCCCAACCTACAGAGGTGGCTAAGTGTATCCCCTCCCCAGCAGCTTATCAGCCTGCCTCAGTCCCCACTCTGCCAGGTTCAACACTTAAATATAACCCAAAAGTCAGCTAGTTAGAATGTATAGGCCACTCCCATCCTCCAACTCATGTTATCCCACAAACTTCCATGAGGTATCCCTAAAGTCTATACCGAACAATATGTACACCTTACACTACTAATTAGCCCATTTAGAAACAAGAGGCAAGTGAAGTAGGTTTGAAATAGATGGTTTGAAAAGTAGATTCTCTGGACCAATCTGCAGAAGGTAAAAGGTCAGACATAAGAGGCAAGAAGGGGGCCTAAATGGGCACGAAGAGTGTTTGTAAGAGCCATGTATTAAACTCAATGTGCCATACAGAGAGCAGGTCTGCCCAGGAAATATGCATTTAAAAAAAAACTGGGAATTAATTGGTGTTGGTGAGTCTCGTTATGGCAAAGTGTACTCCATCTGGTGCATAACACAATGTGGAAATCGAAGAAATGAACATGTGAGACTCTGCAGAAAGGCAGTAAACTAAGGAGAAGAGCCAGGTTAGCAGAGAGCTGGTGATTAGACAAGATATCGTTAGAATGCCAAGACTCCAAAAACTAGAAAACCTGAGTTACATCCCAGAAATTGGAGTATCTGGGAATAGAAGGTCTGGACAGACGTATGCAATGTAAAAAAAAAGTGTTTGCCCACCGGAGAATTATCAATTGGGATATGATCTGCCGAAAAGGTGCCTCAATAGACCTTAAAGGACCCCTATAGGCACCCAGATCACTTCACCTCAATAAAGTGGTCTGGGTGCCAGGGCCCCCTAGTTTTAACCCTGCACCTGAAAAACTGCTAAGTTTATACTGCAGGGTTAATCCAGCCTCTATGTCCTTATCTGTATGTCCTCACATAGTCCAGCGGCAAAAAAGATCCCCATTGGAAAACCTTCAGTAATGCGGGTTTGAATGCGCTTGCTCCTCTGGCTGTGCATTCGGCTCCACTTGGAAGTTGACGTCGATAAAGGAGGAGAGGTCACCAGTGCCGAGGGAGCCCGGCGCTGGATTAAGGTAAGCAAATAAATGATTAACCGTTTATTCGCCATGGAATGGGGTCCTGTTCTATAGTGTTAGGAAACAGAGTTCCTAATGCTATTTTGTTCATTTTAATGAAGGGATATGATTTTCCTTGGTTGAACAATGTAGATAAGAAGTTTAACACTTGTGCGAGAGATGCTAAAAAGACCAGGGTCAGAGGGGGTGTGGGAATATCCCTACCCACACACCAGCTGACTTAACTCTGCCAGGTAGAGGCATGTGCGTGTCAAGTTCCTAGGGCCCATAAGTCCCATAAAAATGTTTAAGGTGTGCTTGAAGGTCCGGTGACATGCCAAGATACCCTGAAAATGGTCCAGCCCATGAGGTGGGGGTGGCCTTGTAGGTTGAGTGGATGGAAGTCACCTGCCAAGTTACTGAGTACAGCTATGGTCTGATGCAATAGTAGAGGGTAGTCTACCAACAGTTCCAGAAGAGTGGGGAACCATGTCTGGGCTCTCCATGACGGAATAACCAGGACTATCATGACTCTTTGAACCCTGATTTCGTGAAGAGTTCATTGGATCATGGCAAAGGGAGGGAAAGCATATTCTACTGTTGATGGCCACTGCTGAAGGAGCACATTGGTTGCCTGGGAGAGAGGGTCCGGCAACCAGCTGAAGAAGGCATCTGTTTGACGATTCAGCCGAGATGCAAATAGATTCAGTGTGAGGGGCCCTCATAGAAGATGAATGTTGTAAAACCATTAAGGATCTAGCTGCCAATTGCTTGCATCCCTCCAGTGACTGGAAAACCCATCTGACACCAGATTGTATGGGCCTGGTGGGTATGCTGCTCTAAGAGAAAGATTTCTGTCTAGTCTGAACTGATTGAGGTCTTTCATGAGATCGGAGAACAGTTTGAATTACGATTTCCCCCTAGATGATTCACATAGCGGACTGCAGAGATGTAATAAATCTACAGCACTAGGGAACAATTGAAGATTATTTGGCTTTAGTGTACTAATAATCTTAATATTAATAATGACCGGAGGCGAGTATGTTGCATAATCTTTCTTTACTAACTCCATAGCCGTAAAGAAAAAGTAATGAGAAAACTGAGAACCAATCACAAACAAGCATAGTTTATAAGAGGCATGTCTCGCTGAAAAGCTTTCTCTTTTTTTTTTTCTTCTTAAAACTGCGATATCACAAGTCCATTACTCAACAAAACGATAGAAAAACATGATGGGATAAACTTCTAACCCGAACATGATCTGGAATAGTGTGCCTGGGGCATTCAGCCCTTAACTTGGCTCGGATTTCCTTTTCCAAGGTTTTGTGAAGCCACATTTTACAAAAGTTTGTAGTATGTTCTGGAGGTGCTGCTCAGCAGAGCAAGGGTGCCAAATAACTCGAGGGTCATAAAGTAGTTCTCCAGAAGCATCCAGTAGGATGTCAGTTGATCTTTTTTTTTTTTTTAATTTTATTTGTTTGCCATAGTCTCATTACAGTTTGATCCCGGTCCACCCCTGGGTGGCAGCCCAGCTCCAGTTGACACACGAGTGGAAGCCATTCACATGGACAAACACCTCTGCGATCCATGCAAAATGGCGGAGACCACGTGTTCCCCTAGCATCTGCAACCTACACTTGGACTTTGAGTCCAGGCTTAGGAAACACTTCGACAAATTCTGGCGGCAGTTTGAGGGCAGACTACTTTGCCAGACACCACCGTATCTGCAGGGTCCTCCACAGTCTCCAGGCATCAAAGCTCCACCAAGTATCCACAATCGTACCGGCAGTGAGGGCCCCAAAATGGCGGAGACGCAAGTGGCGGAACTCACCTGCACTGAAAGCAGCACAGAGGTCGCAGACAATGCAGACCAAGCCTGAACCTAGCAACAAGCCGGCGATGTCGTGGAGAGCCTGATCAGATCTACCGACTCTCACCTGGTTACCAGAGCCTGAAGTGTTCCTGTATATTCATGCACTCTGATCTACCAACTGCTGGCATCGGGTGACTGTGGACTTATTCCCCATAACTCTGGCTGCTTCTCATACATACAGCCTAAGTCCCAGTGCCCATTTTCTGGCTGACACCCACTCACCTACTAGGCACTTACCCACTTACACCTCCACACTTACTCCCTATCTAACCAAGTAACCTGCTTGAAGTCTCCTGGGGGCAGCATGCCATTAGTTATCCTGTTGAGATAAGCCTGTTACCAATTCAAAGTATGCTACCATTATGGTTTCAATTTATCTTTAGCTGCAGACATGTTAGTTTGCACACTCTGATTTAAGTACTACTCACACCACATGTCTATTCAATAGTTCTCTCATGTCATAATTTAAAAATGTGCAGTACCTACAATTGCCATATTACTGTCTCAAACTATATAACAATGTGTTGATTGTTAATGCTGTTGTGGCAATAAAAACTCGCCTGTAGTCTCTTTTGCCAACAAAAATAAAGAATTTTTAAAAATAATCGTTTATATGATGCAGAAATGTTGTCTAATACCTAGAGACCAGAATTAAACATACACTCTCTACAACTATTACGCTGGTCCTAGACGACCCGATCTCCCCTGGTGAATATAAAGCAGCGATCAAACAATTGCCCAGAAGCAAAAGTCCTGGACCTGATGTGTTCACAACCAAATACTTTTTAAGTATTTACCTCTATCCTGCAAGAACTTTTTTTTTTTAATTTTTTTTTTTTAAAGCTTTAAATTCCTTTACGACCACACATAGAATCTCAAACTCTGCACTGGAAGCCCACATTACCTTGCTGCCTAAACTGGGTAAAGGCCTTACCGAATGCAGCAGCTATCGCCCTATTTCTTCAAATTATTCACTAAAATATTAGCCAATCGCTTACGCCCACTGAAGCAGACACTGGTCTACCCTGATCAGGCAGATTTGATACCTGGAAGAGAAGCTAAAAATAATACCACTAAACTGCTCAAACTAATTTATCTATCAAAACTATCGACTGAACAGAGCCTATTGCTCTCTATTGATGCAGAGAAGTGTAACATATTCATCCTCGCCTTGCGGTATATGCAGTAATTGCCTTCCTAACAAATGCGCAAGTTCCGTTCAGCGACCATGTGTCAATGTATCTGACTCCTGCAGCATGCTGGTGGACACCGGCCGCTGCGGATCCATACCAATTTGTAGCCTCACGTCCGTCCACGGTATTGACTACGCACGTTCTGGACTCAAAGGCAGAGTACGGCCAATCAGATCTGAAAGAGGCTTTTTAAAACTCATTTTGCCTTTTCCTCATTGCCCTGTCGGGGTTTCCCTTAGTGGTTGTCTGAGATTGTGTTCCTGAGTCTTTATTTCTGGTTATTGACTTTGGCTTCGTTGTGTCTCATTCTGTGTCCCCGACCTTGGCAATTATTCTGACTATATTCTCTGGTACTTTAAGTCCGGCCATTCTAAGGCCTGGTAAGACGTTACCTTTAGTCCTAGGTGTGATACAGTTCTGCGTGCTGGATCAACTAGTAATCCTGACAAGAAGGCTTTTAACAAGGTGGACTGGTCAATACTTTTCACTACATTACAGGCAATGGGGTTTGGACCAAATTGGATTAAATGGCTTAGGGCAATTTACTCAAAAACAACAGCCAAACTCAAAATCAATGGCCATCTATCTGATGCGGTGCATATCAGAAATGACACAAGATAGGGGTACCCTCTCTCCCCACTGCTATTCGTATTAATCATGGAACCCTTTTGTAACAAAGTGCCCTTTGCCACTTGGGCCTGGAGAGGACTACTTGCCAGCCTCCTGCCATGTGACTATGGCCCTGGGGTGTATGGCCCTTTAAAAAGTCTGTGGGCACATTGTTATTATTGTGAACAGTGCCCCTTTTAAGACTGTGTCCCCAGACCCTTAAAATACTTTATTCATGGCTTCTTCCCACTTGGTTCGGAAAATGGGGCGTACTGAACCGAGTATTACACAGACGGACCACACAGAAGTGGAAGTGTGCGACTAATTTACTTCCCAGGCTGAGGGGTTCCTGTAGGTTAATTGCCGACCGCTGGGTGGCCTCCGTTCGTACAGACTAACACGTGCCGGCGGCCATCTTTATTCAGGTGAACGCGGACAGCGGTGTGTGCAGCCAAATCTCTGGAACTAAAATCGGCTACAAAATGGCACGAACACTGCTGACCCTTACCTTCTCCTCCACTTCGTTTTCAGCCGCATCGTCTAAGTCTCGTTCGCACAGTGAGACTAAGCTATTTGCAGCCCCGTTCGTGCATGCAAATGTGACTTAGTAATTTTTCTGAGTGAAATTGACTGACCTCACAGCCCAAATCTATGGAACTCTTTTGGGCAGGAAAGCATGCTTGCGGTCGGTCACCAAGGACTTCCAGCTAACGTTTTAACCCCTGGAAGGAATTGCCTGAATTTTGAGTATGTTTGTATTTGAAGTATGCTGAGTAATAATATGTGCTTTTTATGGAGATTGGATGCATAGTTTTAAAGTTATAGTAAATGTATAAAAAGTATATTTTTTCCTGCCTGTGATAATTACATTAATCCATTGTGTACAGTAATTATATCACCGGCAGAGGGGAGGATTTTGTGGGAATAAATGGGAGTGTTTTACTGTATTGTAAGTGTTTGGCTGTTCTACAAACCCATGTGGGTGGTACTATGTATGTAAAACCTGCATAAAAGAAAGCCCTTTGCTTAATAAAGAGACCTGTTTGACCCTTTCTTGAAGCCTTGGCTCATGCTTGGGGATGGGATAACTACACTCTTGGGGATTGCTATATTCACACTATACTCCCCAGGGTAAGCTCTTGTAAGAGCTGTTCTTGTTCCTGCTACGCTCTCTGGAAGAAGAGAGGCCTGCCCACTGGAAGCTGGATCCTGACCTTTGGTCCAGGGTGGGTGAAAGACAGCGAGACCCAGGCGCAGCTGCATCGTTGGAAGTGGGGTCTGCAGTGCTGATGGTGTCTGGAGTGCTTGTGGTCCTCAGCAAGCACTAGGAGCATCGATTGGTGGAGGTACTCAGTCGGAGTGCCAGCGTTCCGTCACACCTTTCTCCAGGGCATAAGAGATAACCCCCAAATACGAGGGATAGAAGCAGCACAGGAAGAATACAAACTAGCTGCATTTGTGGATGACTTGCTCTTCGCAATCACAGATCCACTGAGCACTATGCCACACTTTATAGATGAAATCAGGCTCTAGAGTGAACTGTCCAACTTTAAAGTTAACTTTACTAAAAGCGAGATCCTAGCACTAAATGTACACCCCAATTAACAACACCTCACACAGCAGTTTTCCTTCACATGGGCCCCTGAGGCCATCAAATATATCTAGGAGTAATACTCCCACACTCCTTAGCCTGGCTATATGACCTAAATTTCCCAACTCTACTAAGGGATGTTTCCCGCGTCCTTACAAACTGGAATCTGCCCAATTTGGCTGACTATGCCGAATTAACATTCTCAAAATGAATGCTCTTCCACGCATAATCTACCTCTTGCAAGTGTTACCAATACTACTCCCTAAATCCTTTTTTCAAGAAGTAAGATTACAATTTACTTACTTTATCTGGGCCTCTAAGCACCCCAGAGTACCATATGACATCCTAGCTAGACCCTGGGAGATTTGGAATTACCAAATCTAAAAATATATAAAAAAGCAACTTGCCTGTCACGGATCTATGAGTGAGTGGTTGAACCCAAACTTGATGAAACAGTGGATTCACATCAAGGCGACCATGTTCCAAATCTCTATCCGTACCATACCGTGGCATAATTCAGGGAAAGCATTCTTACTCACCCGATCATAGTACCGACCTTAAAATGCTGGCAGGGAATGCGTCAGCAAACATTCCTTTCTGCACATCAATTTCCACTATATCCATTGACTATGAACCCACTCTTCAAACCAGGCATGTCACCCGAGGCTTACCACTTTGTCTGCCCATCCCATAAACATACACAAGGAACCATCCACCAAACATCAGGATTCACTCCTCTCAAAGATCTGATACATACAATTGGCACACCATGGCAATCCGCTTTAGATGCATACAATTATCACATCTGCTTTAGAGCCATATAATTGGCACACTGTGGGCTCTCTCTCGGGCAGACTGATGGAGGGGCCCAGCAGCATACAGGCCTCCCGGTGTCATTGAATTAACTTGAGCCCAAAGCTTATGCCTGGCAGTATTTCTCTGGTTGTTGGATAATTTAAGCTGATTTGTTAGATGAAGTGTTTTTTTAGAAAGATTTTATTTTATTTTTCCAGGTTTTTATATCTGGAACACGATAATATGACCAGAGAACATTTTATTTTTTTTTAATTTTTTTTTATATCTTTAATGCTATTCTAAATCTCCTGTTTTATTAGTTTCAATGCCCAGAGAAAACTCGCATGCACAAGCCTTGGCTCTAACTGTATATAAAGTATAAAGAGCTCAACATCATTCTAAAACTAAAACAATTTGTCAAAACCCATAAAGTGGAGAGACCGGTGTGGGGATCCTTCGCTGAAAACCACTAGGTGCAGCTGTAATTGAATATACGAACTTTACTGAGCTTGCTATTACTATACTACAAATTTACATATATTTCGATCAACCAGAAAAAAAAAAAATGTTAAACTGATATTCGTGCTCACAGCGTTCACAGTACCCTAAGGAGTCTCCATCTAGTGAGTGCAATTTAATATGGCACATCGTAACCAATTTCAAACTGTATTACATTATTATATTTTCCTTTTCTGTAGGTTATCAGCTGCATCCTCTGTATTCTGTTTGGTGACATTTGATGTATAGAATACTGTCTGGAATATCGTGAGAGGAAGTTGTTGTTTATTTGTATTGGATCAGTAATTTTTTTTTGCCTTACACATTATTCTATATTGGTGAAGGTTAAAGGAGCACTATAGTGCCAGGAAAACAAAGTTGTGAAAGCATTAAAGCATTTCTCAATGCTTTCCTATGGACGTCCAGCGTCTTCTCACTGTGATCTTCACAGTGAGAATCACGGAAGCGCCTCTAGCGGCTGTCAGTGAGACAGCAACTAGAGGCTGGATTAACCCTCAGTATAAACATAGCAGTTTCTGTGAAACTGCTGTGTTATCAGTTGCAGGGTAAAAACTAGAGGGACCTGGCACCCAGACCACTTCATTGAGCTGAAGTGGTCTGGGTGCCTATAGTGGTCCTTTAACCTTTGCTATATACAACACTTCTGTCTGACCTCACTGCAGACCTCTATCAGTAATGCTTGGATATATATATATATATATATATATATATATTGTGTGTGTGTAGTGACCTAGGACCATATAACAAGGTGATAAGGTTTGAAATACCACACACGTTTGTATTTATATACAAACACTATTTTTTATACATATAGTGTGTGTGTGTGTAGTGACCTAGGACCATATAACAACGTGATAAGGTTTGAAATACCACACACGTTTGTATTTCTTTAGAAGTCAGTCCTTTTATTAATAGGTCTGGCAAACAAACTATTTTAAATAAAATAAACAAAAAGAAAAGCCTTGCTCTTTTGAGCAATAGCTGACATTTGCAACTAGCTACAGTTGGCAGCTTACCCACTGCCAACAAAACATATACAACGAATCATTTATTTTTCTCTAATTTGGCTTTTTCTCAGCAGACTGTTTTTGGAGAAAAAAAATGCGTTCTCACTCACTGCTTGTCCTTCTGCCTGAATCCCTGACAGAGAAATTTTATAGCAGTCTTGTGCTGTCATTTGCGAACAGGTGATGAACTACCTGGGTGAGCCAGAACTCCTGGCCTGGATTCCTCACCTGCTGTGCTGCGTGTAAACTGTGGAGTGGAGCACTGGCCCTCCCTTCACTCCAAATGCTCCATCCCAGGCACCCATTTTGATTTACAGAATTGTCGTGACTAAAATAAGACATTCTTCCTGGGGCTGTTCTGGGACAGACACTCCCCTTTTCTTTTAGTTTGCAGAGAAATTCATTCATCTTCGGTTACTTTTGTAGGGAGGCCCAGGGAGACTAGTGTGCATGCGCAGTGCCAATCAGTATTTTCTCATAGAGATGCATTGATTCACCCGTGTGCTGTAGTGGTTTTCGTGCTTGGAGAGTTCTTTTAACGTATGCAGGATTTTTTGTTCTTTAATTCTTTTGTATAAATTAGACTGAAATTGTGATCTTGAGTCTTTTGCTACAAAAATACTGCTGTGCAGGTTTCTAGAGAAGGGAGTTGAGAAATTCAAATTTGACGGTGCTTATAAATCCTTGCTATAGAAGTTTTAAAGGTGTCCCTGCTAAGGGGTTAACTGGAGGTCTCCTCTGTCCTATGTTATCAAAGTTCAGATTTCAAGAGAATGAACACATTTTTAATATATTAAACATTTTTGTTTTTTGATCTTGCATAGCTTTTCAGCTCACTTCCTAAATGAACACTTATCCACGGGGTTGTCCAATATCCACATATGTTTTAGTAGTGATATTTATATGGAATATATTGACATTGGAATGGTTCAAAAGCACAACAATTAATTAGAAAAATAACTTCAGAGTATTCTCAATATTGGGTGCATGTATAAACCTATTACCTAGGACAGGCATAGGCAACCTTCGGCACAGATGTTTTGGACTACACCTCCCATGATGCTTTGCCAGCATTATGGGTGTAAGAGCATTATGGGGGATGTAGTCCACAACATCCGGAGTGCCGAAGGTTGCCTATCCCTGACCAAGGACTTTAATTCAAAATAAAATGTATTACTGGAATGATGTGTCTGTTGGGTGGTTTTTATTTGTTCATATTCCAAATAAATGTGGATAAAAATATATTGGCGAAAGGGCATATTAGATGGCAGATTGTGTTATCCGCAAACCTTTCATTACTTAATGGAAGCCTGCCACACCTTATCTGTCACTGCTTGAAGAGACATTGTAGCAGGGACTGTCACAGTCTCCCACTGCCTTATACTTGTGCAAGTTCTGTCATGTACTACTTACTGTGTATGTTAATGTTAAAATACAGCATACACTTAACTAATGTTTTACTACTTTGGAAAGATTTTTAGAAGATGAGAAAATTCGAATGTAAATGGAAATTTTTTAAAAACTTATCATAATTTGTTTATTTTCCCTTCTTTCCTTGTACAAATTATGTATGTTCTGTTAGTTTCAGTTGACGCCTGGTGACTATCATTGCTCTGATGTTAATCCTTTTAGAGGTCACAGATTTATTTTACTCAAAAGCTGACATTCTTGGTGCTTGCCTTCCCATTTAAAAATAAAATAAAAAATGTTGTGCTGCATTTTTCCTTTTTTTTTTTTTTATAGATTTTGCTAATTTTTACAGAGCCTAACTTAGAAATCTGTCAGGCTCTTGGTCTAGGGCCCCTCAAACCAATAAGTGTACCACTGGGACGCTTATTTTCTCAGCTATTGGATGTTCCACTCGTGTCTCCATCCGTAGGTGTTTATAACTCTGGACCATAGGTGAGACGTTCTAGACATGATAGCCTCTCATCTCATGCAATGTTTCTGAGGTATTGTGCCTGTTCTCAGGAGCCAAGGGCAGTCTTGGTGAATACGTTAAAGATTGCAGAACCTTCTTCCCAAAGCCAGACAGTGATCAGGACAAGCTGATACATTCTGGATGTGGTCAGAGCCCTTAATCATTACGATAAAGTTGCAAAGTCTTACTTCCTTTTCATTAACTTCTTAGGACCTCTGAAGTTTTTCGTTGAAGTCATGTGGGTTTTTTTTGGGGGGTGTGTGTGGGGGGCGGGAGGGTCGTTGGCAAGCTGATTTCTTGGTGCAAATGCCATTGCCTAACTTGAATTGCTGTCGATCCTTCCAGGGTGGTGGCTACTTCCTAAGCCCTTAAGTGTGAGGCCTCCATTTTCTGCAAAGTTGTATTGTGTTAATGTTTTTTGCATTTGTTGACACATTGCATTTGACAGGAAAGTTGTTCCCATTTTAGTTACCTTCATCAATGTTTTCTCATGGGTAATAGTTTTTGCTTCCTCAAAAATAGAAGCCTGCTATGAGTGATGTAGAAGAATGCAGAAAACATGGCACAGGCATTATATGTGACATGTATATATGTAGTGTAAATTCCTTTTAAAGAAACATTTAAAGACTAAGCATGTTTTAAAATCCTCCATCTGGTAATTCTCTAAGAGGAATGCAAATACAGACTAAGAATTTAATGCTTAAGAGGCTTATAGAGACTAAATTTTGATTAAATCTCTCTAGTTGGGTTATTCTGGGTGACAAAACAGGCACAAACTAAAAAGGAACCACGTTTCTCTGTAACTTAGTATGTAGTAATTGGCACTAACATGCATAGGTGTGTGCCAAGGCACAGCCCAATACAGATCTGAATAGTGTCTTCTAATTAAGTCTTTACCTGTGATAATCTGTTAATATGGGTTAGTTTAATATCTGGTGAAATATAAAGAGCATAAGCAATTATTTGTGTAAAAAAAATTAAAATTAAAGGGATACTATAGTGCCAGGAATGCCAGGACTGTGCTTTGCGTGATATAGTACGGAGTTCATTACTCCTATGTTTTGTGGATTGCAGGCGATCTAATGCACATATTCCAGGGGTAGTTGTAAACTGAAAAAGAAACTTCTACAGTCCTGAAAAAGTGACAGATGTAAGCAGTGGTCTTCTCTGATCTGCAGCCCTCAGATGTCCATTTTAATTACCCTGTGTGTCATACTAGAAACTGTGTTAAATGCTCCACCCTTTATCCATGTAAAACAGCTCTTATGCACAATGTCCTTGGTTAACTAGATATTAAAACCACCCCATGCTTACAATTAAAATCTCGAGTCATAGACTATACTCCCTCTAAATGAGATCCAGCCAGAAGAGAACAATTGACATATTTTTGAAAAGCAATCTGTGAATCCTTCTGCCCCGGAAAACAATATCACTTGTATACCAACTATTACATGGCCCTTCTCTTGTGAAGGAACTTCCCTTCATTAAAGCTTCGGAACGGGATTTGGGATGCCAATTCTCAGATGAATCTTTGGCGTGGGTGTTTGATATTTTTAAAGAGTTAACGTTCTTCTCCAATAATGTGGAAATCAAACACTATTGTTTGGTCTCTCGCGCCCAGTAGAGATCAGCAGTGGGCAGATATGAACCATTCGGCCCATCTAGTCTGCCCAATTTTCTAAATACTTTCAGTCCCTTGCCTTATCTTAAGTCTAGGATAGCCTCATGCCTATCCCACACATCCTGAAACTCCTTTACTGTGTTAACCTCTACCACTTCAGCTGGAAGGCTATTCCATGCATCCACTACCCTCTCAGTAAAGTAATACTTCCTGATATTATTTTCAAACCATTGCTCCTCTAATTTAAGACTACGTCCTCTTGTTGTGGCACACGTATGGCGTAATTGTAATCGATTAAAACATTATTGGTAAACAGCAATTAGATTAATTGAAAGCAGGACCCAAATTAAGCTTGCAAATTATCCAGGACAATTATGTTCTCATTAGGAATCCCTAAATTAAAAAAATACTTGATATTTCACATCTTAGTGGCAGCCTTAACCCTATTGGCTAGGTTATGTAATACGGAAGAGGTAATAGACCAGGTTAAGATAAATAGCAATTACGAAAGTTCGCACAGCTCAGATAGTAAATTCTGGAGCAAAGCATTGTAAGACTGGTTAAATCTTGCCAGCATTGATTAGTAAATCCTTGATATGTTGGCGAGATCCCCCCCCCCACCGCACCCCCACAAAGTACAAATTTAATCTGGAGGTTTGGTTGACAGCCTGCCATTGTTATTCCTTTCACATTCTGTGATACAATGTCGATACAAGTCTATGATGATAACGGACTCTTAAGTGTATGCTACCGTATGTATGTTATGGTTTTATGCCATGTCTGATCTTTAATACAATAAAACTTCATTTTGTGGGTAAAAAAAGAAAAGAAAAATTCGTTTTGCACTTTTCTTAGGGCATATTCTAGTGCAATTGTCATAAAATATCTTTCATTTGCAACAGAGTAATGAGTAAATGTGCCCTGTACCCCATACTAATCAATAATGAGATTCGTTGGCAGCGATTTTCCAAATCAATTAGTATTGATTTTATTGATGAGTTGTTTCACATCTCTTCTGCTGTGAGCTCTCCAGACTAGAAAGAATTAGCTACTGCAAGGCCATGTGCTTCCCCCTCCCACCCAAACCATATATTATCAGACATCCCAACATGCAGAAACTAATTCCAGAGACACACATACCATCACCCCATGGGATGTCTGTATTAAGCAATAGAGTGATGTATGTGGTGGATGCATATAAAGGATTGTCACATAACAGACTACAATACTCTGGTTCTGGTTTCACTGTCCGCTCACTATGAGAGGCTGCATTCTGACTTCTACACTGTAAATATTATAAATCCACATCTTTTTCTCACCGCACTCAATATTTGTAGGCCGCCACCCGCTGGTGACCTTGGATGGCAGAGCTTCCTTTCTCTTCTTCTTGGTTTGTCCTTATGGACATCTATCTGGCTCTGACATTTTATCACACCATCTTACACCTGTGTTATTAGGGGTTATCTCACACCATCAGGGCTATTTACTAAATAAGAATTGTCTGGAAGCAGAGCAGTTCAGCTATTTTGGACTTAAATTTGAATTACTTGTTTCCCCTTGAATAGCCCGGTTGCGGCGAAACGCGTGTCAGGGCATCGAGAGCTCTGTCTGTGATTTTTACTAGGATTATAGGGGTGCACTTGTATAACTGTACTAATTTGAAGCTTCAATAGTGTTTAATGTGATTGTATTAATGGTACTCGATCACACACAAAAATAGTTCTTTCTTTTAAATTTCAATTTATATTTTTCTTTTACATTTTATATTATTTATTAGTGGTAACCTTAAGAGCTTAGTTTATCTCAGGGACAGAGGTGGGGCTTTAGCATAGGTCCCTTTGAAGGCACAGCACAGAAACCTTGGTATACCATTGACCTTTTTATTAATTTTATTATTTACTACTCTTTAGTCCTTTGTTTATATTAGTTGTCGTTTTTCACTCAATTCAATCAACTTTACCCATTGATTTCTAAACCCACCTTTCCTTCTACTGGGTTAAAATGTATTTCTAACAACTTACCTGTAAACTGCTAATATGAATTTTTCTATTCTCTAGGTTACTTAGTGATTTAAATTGGATTTAATTTCTGGTATCAATTTAAGTGTTCACATACGTTTTGGAGATTTGTAACAATAAAAGCTAAGTTTTAGATTTTACTGAGCTGGATCATCTGTATTTATACTTCACTCTAAATTCATGACAATTCTCACTTTGGTAAATAGCCCTGCGTATCTTCTACCATGGTCCTTTCTAAAGAGTGGTATTATAAGATAGACCTCACCATTGAATCTGACTGTGTGAACTCTTTCACCATCCGCATAGTCTGTCTGTTCAAAGATAGTTCAAATGCTTAATCTGAGCACTTCAAAGCAAACATGTTACATTTAAGGTAGACTCTTGTAGTGTCCTATGTCCAATAAAGTACTGTAACATTCTGTCTCACTTGTAATGCCATCTCTGCCTCACTATTTTCTTTTCTTCCGTGTTCTATCCTGTGTCCAATTTTGCATATCTCTTTGTGTTCTTTTATTTTGCATTTGCGTATTTTCCATCTACTTCTGTGCTATTTTGTGAAAATTCTGTAAAGATTTATATTGGTTATAAATATTAGTTCGTATTTAACATGGTATATTTACATTTATTGCTCCAGTAAGTTTGCAAGTTATCACGTACTGGGGGCTTTGTGTTCAACATATTTTTCACTGTCTCTTTCTGTATCTGCTTTGTCTCAAAGCAAGCAGTAACATGCAGAACAGTTGTTAATATTTTTACATTCATAATCAGATATGACTTTGCGTACTGTTGGGTGTAAGTCATTCATACGAATACAACGGTGACGCTTTAACATTTTATAGATAATTCATAAAGAAAACTACCAATATTATAATGGCTTTGTTCTAATGTTTTTACTATAAATAAAACTTTAGGACATTGTGTCCCATTTTTATTTCATTGGGAGCAATAGCAAATATTAATTTACTTGTAGTGTGCTTTATTTACTTAAAGGGACACTACAGCGGCCCAGCCCACTTCAGCTCATTGAAGTGTTCTGGGTGAAGTGTCTCAGGCCCCTTAACACTGCAATTGTAATTATATATGATAAACTGCAGTAATTAGCTTGCAGGGTTAACTGTCTACCAGCCACTAGCCAGACTTCCGGCCGGTTAGGTGGCATTTGATTCCCTAACTGACACAGGACGTCCTCCGTTTTGCATGGAGGACATCCAGCATCACCAGAAACTCCCTTAAGAAAGCATGGTGATAAAGGGGTTTTAACCTCTTCATCACCATGGACAGAGAGGAGCTATAGTGCTAGAAAAATAACCTTGTTTTCCTCTAAAACAACTAGCGCTACCACATAATAATTACATAAAACTTTTTATGTGCTTTTTATTTGTGAGATATCTTATAAATTGTTAAAATTCTGACACTTTTATCTAGGCACAATCTCGTCCCCAAAGCTCTTTTTCGTTTGTTTCAAAAGTGGTGAGACAAATGTAAAGGTACACGGATATAAAATGTATTTAAATATCATGCAAAGGATTTTTATCTTTATGCATGTTTCGTTCATTTTTTCTTTTGTATGCTAGAACACAGAATAGAATATTGGAAGATGTTATCATTTCTGCGTGACTCGATTTATAAGAATCTAAAGAAAAATGAGAAGACCTACAAGAGAGCAGATGATCAAATTATATAATAGCTTTTCATGTTTCTATCACATGCTTTGTCTGAAGTGCTCTGTGATGAACAGATTACTCCTTCATTATATGGCTCACTATCAGCAGCTTGCTCGACCTCTCCAAATGGTTTGCTGCTTTGAAGAAATTGCACAGCATCATTTTAATAAATGAGATTTATTTGTACACTAAATATCTACAATCCTTGTAGAACTCTGTAGCATTGCTACATTGTATATAGTAGGTATACCCAGGGCCAGATTAAGAGCCCAGTGGGCCTGTTGCTGACAATTATGATGGGGCGTAATTACAGAATCTTAGCGACCAAAAACAATAACAGTCATACCACCCAAGCGTCATGTATCTAATGGAGATGGTGTTGGATGGAAACTCAAAGGATGCAGCTATAAGAAAACACATACCCTATGCTAATCTCTCTCTAATTTATGCTTTCATCTTTCAACTAAATCCATACCCCCTAACAGCAGTGTCCAGTGAAGCAGGAAGACAATGGGCAATGTAAAAGGGTGCGCCACTGACGCAAATCACATGACCAGAACTGCCAAAAGGGGTGAACATGCCCAAAAAGGGTGCATGTCTGTCCAAAGAATTGGAAGGCCAGCCTGGCATCAATGTCCATATGTATCACAGTGTCAGTGTCCCCATGTCGCCCAGTCCCCTAGTCTCCCAGTGTCTGTGTCCTCATTTCTCCCTGTGTCCCCATGTCTGTTTCCCATGTCACAGGGATACTAGGGGACACTGAGAGACCCGGGGACACAGAGACCCAGGGACACTGAGACACATGGGGGTACTGAGACACTTGGGGACAATGGGAGACATGGGGACACAGACACTAGGGACACAGACATGGGGGGACACATTTGGGGACACTAAGGTACTAGGGACACAGACATGGAAACATAGACACTGGGAGACATGGGGACACTTGGGACAGTGGGAGACATGGGGGCACTTGTGGACATAGACATGGGTACACTGGGAGACATGGGGACACAGACACTGGGAGACATGGGGACACAGACTCTAGGGACACAGACATGGGGACACACATTTGGGGACACTAAGGTACTAGGGACACAGACATGGGAACATAGACACTGGGAGACATGGGGACACTAGGGACACCGGCTGGGAGGCATGGGGACACAGACACTTGGGGACAGTGGGAGACATGGGGGCACTTGTGGACATAGACATGGGTACACTGGGAGACTGAAAAATATGGGGACACTGGGAGACATGTGGACACTGGGAGACATGGGGACACAGACACTGGGAGACATGGGGACACTGGGGGCCATGGGGACACTGAGACACTTCGGACACTGAGAGACATAGGGACACAGACACTGGGAGACTAGGGGATACTGAGATACTAGGGTCACTGGCTGGGAGACATGGAGATACTGTGTCCCTAGTGTCTCTGTGTCCCAATGTGTCTCCTAATATCCCTATGTCTCACAGCATCCCCATGTGTCTCAGTGTCCCCATGTGTCTGTGCCCCCTAGTGTCTCAGTGTCCCCATGTTTCCCTGCTGCCTTCCCCCATCCCCTTCCCTGAGCTGTAGGCTGTCTCTGCAGGTTGGGAGCTGCTGTCTGAACTCTCTGTGCTGTGTAGCTGCTCCCCTGCGGATCAGTGAGTAGAGAGAGGCAGGGAGGGGTATGTTGTAACTTCCTATCCCTACCTCTCATCACACACAGTGACCCCTACTGGCTGGTGCTGGTATTGCAGAGTAATATCTGTTTATACAAAAAAAAATCTGCATTTGTATTGCCGGTATTACTGCAATATCGGCATGGCTAGCCAGCCTCAAATATCGGCTGTGCTGGTAAAATACCAGTCAAGTGGCAAACCCAAGTGTGGAGAAAAAAAAAAGTAAAAAAAAAAAAATAATAATTTTTATTTTTTTAAATGGGCCTATTCCATGGGCCTGGAGCTGCAGCTCCATCAGCCCCTATGTTAATCCGGCCCTGGGTATACCAATTCTGCATGTTCCTCTCTTAATGTGTTTTGTACAGAGACCAGGGATGAGAAAAGTGCCAAATAAAGTGCAGTGTGAAATTGTCCCTTTCCGCCTCTCGTGTTTTTAACGTAATTTAATGTGGAAGCCACAGTTTCTTTATTAACCCCCCAAAAGACAAGTTTTTTTTTGTTTTGTTTTTAAGCCTGATAGAAGTAATGTAGAACCACAATTTCCTCTCTAAAATGTTGTTTGTGCATAACTAACAAAACTATATACATTTTATGTTGTTCTTCTGGTTCCATATTCTATGAATCATTTCGTGAATAGACTCTGGTTTTAAATATTTGTGATACAATTATTCTGGCACCAGCTGGTAGATCGAGGTGAATAAACACACTTTAACAAACCTGCTTTAAAAAAAGAAATCAAAGAAGTATGTGAAATCTATATGGTCTGCACTGCAACTTTTTTCTGCACATTACTGGAATAGTAACAGGGGTGACTAGTTTAGGATCCAGATCCGTCCTGCTGCTTTAATAGACCCATCCAGAAAACCAGCAGGGACAATCTGGAACTTAGAGACATTAAAGAATAAGGTCTTTCTTTAGCCTCATATTAACTCCTCAGCCTACTTCTGTTCATGGTAGCCTTTTGAAGTATCCAGAAACTGTCATTACAGATATGTTTTGTCTCCCAGACCCATTTAATACAGATCACTTTTAACTTGACTACAGACTCTGTTGCAATTCCACCCCGGCTAACAGGCAGCACTGTGGTTTCAGCCAATATGTTTTATTTAACTTGAATTCTTATCTTGAATATTCTGCAGTCAATGTACAACCAAAATAATACACAAAACACAATAATGTAAGGAGAACAGTTATTCAGCATTACAATAATGCCATATAGTATTGAAGGCCGAAGAACACAGTAACAATTTAAATCATTCCATCTGTAAATTGATCAGTCTAAGCATTCAGAAATTTGTACACAACACTCCCAAAAAATGCAAATGGAGAAATATTTAATGCAATAGAATAATTTGGGGGAGAGAGGAAAATAAATCAATATTTGTGTAAAACGAATATCACATGTATGTTTTTAAATAGCTTCGTGGCTTATAGTGACACTCCAGACCCCTAAAGCTTGCTGAAATGCTTTATGTGTGAACGTGTCCCGGTGCTCTGGGCAATTGCGGCCTCTTGAGTTTAGTTCTTTTTTTTTGCCTCCTTCCCTCTTAGTTCATGTAATGCATTGCGCCAGCATAGTGCATAGTTATACAGGTAATAAAGTAAAACTAAGAATTCTTCAAAGTGGATGAGAGCAATCACTTGACTTCAAAATTAGCTGCTTCACTGCTTTTGTTTTAAAAAAAAAAAACCCCCACAAAACAAAACAAAATGCTATGTGAAATGTGTGTATTCTAACCAGCACGCAAACAATCTCACAGACAATTCACATTCTACCACAGTCACACATTCTCTACAACGCTGTGTATTTAAGCAGAGTACATCTGGAAACCCTGTGCTATTTCATAACCAATAAGTACAATAGAGTGATGTTTCATGAACTTCAGAAAAGACACACCCGTCCTATGTTTTGATATCTCCAGTAATTATCCGCAGAGCACTCCCATAATGTTTTATTATTGTAGTAGGTTTAATTTAGGAAATGAATTAACTTACTAGACTCCTTGTGCTATGGAGCTAATTTTGTCCAATGTTCCTATTCGATGTCTAGATACATATGGTCAGGACTCTGCTTTTGGAGTCCAGTTCTCAGAATTCCGAGATATGCAACAAGAAAGAGACAGTTATACATTCAGATACATACACAATATTAGAAAATTACTAAAGTACAGCTTAGACCTTATTTGATCTAGGGTGTTGTTCACTAATGCCTACGTTTATACATAAATATAACCTGTTGTTCATTAGCAGGAGTATACAACAGGCAAGAGGTCATACATTGAGACTGGTAGAAAGGCATTTTCTGTTAGGGCAGAGGAAAGAGTTCTTTATACTAAGAACAATAAAAGATGTGGAATTATCTGCATGAAGAGTTTGTCTTATCAGATTCTATAGATACTTTTTCAAAAGGTCAGAATGCTTTTTTTTGCAAAAAGATAATATTCAAGGCTGTAATTAGTATGTATATAAACAGGTTGTTGATCCAAGGAGAAATCTGATTTTCATTATGGAGTCAATACTTTTTTTTTCAGTTTTTGTGGCGTAATTGGATTAACAGCATAAAAAAATGGGTTTCAAAGTTGAACTTGATGAACTTTAGGCTATTTTTTCTACCTAGACAACTATGTAACTTTAAAATATTTCATCTGCGTGGGGGCGGGGGATGACGTGACACGTGAACGCGCACGCTCCCACCTTCACGAGGTTATGGGAACGAGGAGGTGATTCCAACAAGCTGTGCCTAAGGGGTAAATGCAGACGCCACAGTAATTACTGAAGCAGCCGCAGTAACTATTGAAAGAAGCAGCTAGTGACAAAGTCGAATGAACGAGCTTTGTTTGTCCATTCAAAACATGCTGGTTGTATGTTGGGCTTGTGGAGGACGCACTCTGCATCCTGTTTGCACCGGTTACCGGCGGGGAGACACAATAGTGAGGTCTGGAGAGTGAAAGTCGTGTAGCTGTGAAGCTATGAACCTGTGAAGCAGGGAAGTCGAGCTGTATATAAGTCTGCAGATAAGCGGTAACACAAATTGGCTATACCGGCTGGCTATACTAAATCTCCTGTATTGTATCCAAGTCGCATAATTATAATAAACTTATCAAGTTGCTACATATTTCTAAGGTGCAACATTGAACTGCTACATTGAAACTAGTCAATGGTGAAATATTTACAAACGGAATGATGAAAAGGATCAAGTAAACTGGTCTGTGGTCATAGGAACTAATTAAACTCTGGTGCCTCTCCTATTGCACACTGGAAGAAATGGAAAAGTTCTAGGTGGAAATCAAATAATACAAGACGTAATAACTTGCTATATGCAAACGAGCTCCTTCTGTACCAGTTGTACCTATTTTGGATCGTTGTATTTAATACAGTTCAATATAGTTTGATATATTAAAAAATGAAATAAAATAAATTAATTAATTTAAAAATATATATATAAATCTATCAAGGCAATTTATTTAAATTTTTTTGGAAAAGGTATAACCCTTAAAATTCCTGCCGAGGAGAACAATATGAGAACTAATTAAATAAACCTCTAAATAAATTTCTAAGGGGAAAAGTAAAGAAAAGACTCAATATAGAAACAAAATGTCTCCAAAAAGAGATAATGAAAAAGTTGCCAATACAAACTCTGAGAAAAATAAGAATTTTAACTTGTACTATTCACCTAAATCCCAAGAGCAAACTCCTGTTAAAAGGACATCTTTAGGGGAATGCAGAGAATCTGTACCTTTAAATCTAATTCAGGATTAATTCAGGACTTAGTGACTTCCCAGTAATATATTACACAGCAAATACTCAATGAAGCACTTGAAGGCTTATACCTTAAATTAAAACAGGACTCTGAAGAAAAGTCTAATACTCTACGTTTGGAGTTATTTCAATTTTCCTCCAAACTGCAATTGCAATCCGATACACTCCAAAAAATACAATAAAATAATGATGATCTTATATTCAAGTACAACCAACTGGAAAAGAAGATTAAACTATTGGAGACCAAAGTGGTCGATCTAGAGGATCGATCCCGAAGGAGCAATATAAAACGGAGAGGTGTTCCAGAATTGGTTGCTGCTGGTCAGTTGGATGTCTTCTTAAGATCCTACTTTCCAAAATTTATACCTGGAAAGTAAGTGGGAGAATTCCCATTTGAAAGATATCATAGATTATACAGACCTAAGAATCTGTCACCAGAAGTTCCAAGAGATATTATTGTCTGTTTTTCTAGTTATTAAGAATTCGATTATGCAATCGTCCCAGAAAAATCCAGCTCCAGATTCACAATTCAAAGATATGAAGCTATACTCAGATTTATCTTTAATGACTCGACAGGCAAGGTAAAGCTTTGCGGCTCAGACCTCTACACTTAGAGCTCACAATATCAAATACAAATGGAATGGAATATAAAATGGAACACAACTTTATCTCTGATGCTGGAATTCGATCCTCCTATGAAAAATTATGGCTCCCCTGGACAAAAAACAAAGCAAATATATAGTTGTAGATCTTCCGATTTCGTGTTTGGCCCCATGTCGAGTCTTTAAGAGTCTTTAATTTTTTAAAAATGTATTTTCGCTTTTTCTTTTTTTCATTTCTCTTCTCTTCCTTTTTATTCTTTTTTTACTTTTTTTCTCCTCTATTTTTCAGACTTTGAAATTGGTTTAAAACACTACCTGTAGATATTGCTCAGACATACAGATGAAAGTGGGGGAAGGAAATATAGGTGTATAAAGATTATAAAAACTTAGACAAACTTCATGATGGGGTTTTCTGTTTTTTTCTTTTATCATGCTGTACTTGTTTAAATTATCATTAGGGTGTTATCGTATGATATATTAGAATGTATTTATATATCAACACAATAAACTATAAATTGTTAATTAACAGAATACATTATTAAGTGTTAATTAAGTTATAACATCTGTTTGAATGAAATATTTGTCTGAAATTTTGTGTATCTTTTAAAGTATAAATAAAATACATTTTAAAAAAATATATATTTCGGCTGCATAGTCCTAAGTATTAACTCTTGGCTTTCATGAATTCACAGAGTGTCTGCTGATGGGATATGATGTCATGATGTGTCCTGGAGGCCTTCAGTTTTGTGTATAATGAGAAGACAATTGCTGCCCCTCTGTGGCTGTATTGCTTGTAACAGTAGAAATGTCCCGGAGGCCCAGTCCAACCCTGATTCAGATTTGCCTTTAGTAAATATGAGAATTACAAATCTGGTTGAAATTCAGTTATTTTAACTGAGTTTCGTCCATCCCGACTTAATTCAGACCTTTATAATGGATGACTCTGTTCTTGGAGCTTGAAGAATCCAGCCTTCTCCCCACAGACTACTGTCACTCTGAGAAGGTCTCAGCCCCCCCAAGCTGAAACTGGGTTAATTGTGGGGGGAGAATCGCCTTGACCCATTCTCACATGGAGTGCCTGATCGGGAGATACACTGAATCACAATGGAACTGAGGTTCCGAGCTATCTGGGGATGTCTTTTAGGGATTTGGATTCCTTGATTCCCCTTTCTGGTGAGGACACAGCTAGAGGGTAATATCAGTAGCCTGAGCTATGCTAATTAACTGTTATAAGCTCAGACTTGGTGGCATTGAGGAGGGAACTCATTCTATTGTTTTATTAATCAGCCCCTGCAGATGTAATATATATCAATTCTACCTTATACAAAATATGTGCATGTTGTGTTAATAACAGTACTTGTTTTACCCACACAAAGTCTCGACTGGGGTATGGGGATAAGGGCTTTATTCACCCTACTGTACTCTTTGGATAGTAGGAAGACAGATAGCGGAGTGCCTTGAGTACTTAAGCTTAGTTATATATATATTATACTATATAATAACTGGCTCCATTTTGTTACATGTCATGGAAATCTCATGATTGCAATCCATCCAACGACAGACAGAGATGTAAGATTGTTTACCCCTAAGTCATGATTATCTCTATCAAGTTGTCAACCTGATGAAAAAATAGCTCCATAGCATTAGTATTCTAGTAAGTTTAATTCATTTCCAAAATAATTAATTCTACTAAAATAATAAACATTGTAGGAGTGCTCTGTGGATAATTACTATAGATGTCAAAACATAGGAAGGGTGTATCTTTTAGGAACTGTATGCATCTGTTCATAAAAAAAATCATTCTATTGTACTTTTTTGCTTATGAAATTACACAAGGTTTCAAAATGTATTCTGCTTCAATACACACTGTTTTATTTAATCAAGGACACTTTGTTATACTCATTGTTCATTCACAAACACACACACACAATAAACGACAGAGAACAACATTACTCTTTTGCTTGTTTGGTAAGACTGAGGCTGCTAGATCTTCACATGTGATGCCTTTCTTTCTTCCCCAATAAATGTTACAGTAATATAAAAGCATTGCATTAATAAAATAAATGGAAATTAGGATAAAAACATTCTATAGATTATTTGTTTTTTAGTGACATTTGAGTAAGCCTTTGACACCCACTGCCTATAAGGATCCTCATAGCTGTCCGAAAACAACAACATACGGTAACAGTGGCTGTAAGGCTAATACGTGCAGCCACGAGGAGTGAGGTTCCACCAGCTGCATGCTTTCTGGATTGATCACAGTTCTGGATAATTCAGCCATTCCTTGATTGCTTTCTCTTTTCCTCAGAAGAGGATAAAGACCATAGGCAGATTATTGGTTTGTGACCCCCACTAATTCTTCACATGAAGGTCAAGCTAATTCATGCTTTCGGAGCCTCGATCTAACAGGTCGGCCATCTACAGTCACGATATCCTATCTGGTTCATCTGCCCACAGTCCAGTTACTATGACAGTTCCAAGAATAAACTGATAAAACAGGCAGGCTACAGCTGTATACCTAAAGAGATACAATTAATAGAACACAGTGTGATACTGTATGTGAACTTAAATATTATTGCAAATTGGTTGCAATTACAGACGTATGTGAACCTCAAGCATCTCTATTCTCAATGCAGAAGCGTCTCTAGTGGCTGTCTGGAAGACATCTCAGTGAAGTGGTCTGTAGTTTCCACCCTGCAATGTAAAACATTACAGTTTTATAGAAACTGCAATATGTCCGTTTTAGGGTTAAAGCTAGCAGGCCACTGCACCCAGACCACTTCACTGAGATGATGTGGTCTGAGTGCCTTAAGTGGTCCTTTCAGGTGTACATTTTGTAGTTGCCAATTCCACTGATGCAGGATATTTAGCAAGTTTCTGAGATCTATGTCCAGTTGTCTAGTCTTTTGTAGGGATGTGCATGGGCAAATAATCTGGTTCGGTAATTCGGGTAAGTAAAAAAATTCGGCACTTCAGCAATTCAATTCGGCACTTCTGAAATTTGGAACTACGGCAATTTGGGAATTCGAAACTCGGAACATCTGTAGGGCTAGAATAGAATATATAGATAGGTGGGTAGTAACTGCAAGGTTTCAGGATGCTAATATCCCTTCTTATTTGACACATCAATGTAAACGAACATTGGTCAAATAGTAAATCTGACAACAATTCTTTGAAAAGTGGAAGAATCATTAGATCCTGAAAAGATCCGACAATTGATCTCTATGTATATCGAGAAATATAAACTTAATTTAAAAATATAAAAAAAATAAAAATTAAATCCCAAGTTCCACTGGACAAAATAATAAAATAAAAGTGTACAACAACAACAACAACAAATTACCCTAACACCAAAAGCCATCCACCAACTTACAGCCCACTGCTCGCTCCTATAATATTAAAGTGGTACTGTTATTCCTTAAGGTACAGAAATACTGTATAGAATCTTTATGAAAAACATATAAACTTAAACTAAAAGAAAAATTGCAAATTATTTTTTTTCCTGCTTTTGTTATATTACAGTAGAAAAAGATAGTGACCTGTAAATAATTGAAAAGTAAGAATAAATAGATTAAAAAGTACTGAACCCCAATATGTTCACTTTAGTATATAACAAAGATCGCCTGTGATTCTTAAAGGACCACTATAGTGCCAGGAAAAAAAACTTGTTTTCCTGGCACTATGTAGTCCTTAAGTCCCCCCCACCCACAGGGCCCCCCTCGCGCTGGCCTGAAGGGGTTAAAACCCCTTCCACCACTTACCTTTCGACAGTGCAGGGCTCCCTCGGCACTGGTGATCTCTCCTTCTCCTGCCCATGTCAGCCCTGAATGCGCATGTGCGGCAAGAGCCGCGCGCGCATTCAAACAGCCTATATGAAAGCATTACTCAATGCTTTCCTATGGACGTCCAGCGTCTTCTCACTGTGATTTTCACAGTGAGAATCGTGGAAGCGCTTCTAGTGGCGGTCAGTGAGACAGCCACTAGAGGCTGGATTAACCCTCAGTTAAACGTAGTTTCTCTGAAACTGCTATGTTTACAGCTGCAGGGTTAAAACTAGAGAGACCTGGCACCCAGACCAATTCATTGAGCTGAAGTGGTTTGGGTACCTATAGTGGTCCTTTAAAGAACTGTTAGAAGTATTTTTTATAGTTTTATGATGAGTAAAATAAATTCTTCTTTGCGTTATTTTGTTTTGTTTATTATCTGCAGTATGTGCTCTTAGTGTGGTAATCCATCATGTGATTTTACAAAGTCTTTTGGAATAAAAAAAAATATTTATATAAAAGGAATTGTGAATTATTTTGTTTAAGACCTGTACTATGTGACATCCGTACTGACTGTGCTTTGTACCTCCTTAGATAAGACAATGTTTTCCATGTCAGCCCATCCTAATTAAACACCATTTGGATATTTTAATCTGGTAAGATCTTCTTTACTTACTTTGGTGAAAAGTCTCTCACATATTACATTTTCAGAGGCAAATATTTTAACACATAATTAAAGGCAGCTTCTTTCTTTCTCATGCACGTTTATGATTCTTATGGTAATTACAGGGTTACTCCAAATCTTTTTTTTTTTTACTGATTGTTTTTGATTTACAATACTCTTGGGCGTTACTAATATATCCCTTCCCCCCTTGAAACCTGAAAAAAAAAATTAAAAAAATTCAAACTTAAGTGAAATCCAATGTCCGGAGCTTTAGCTTGGTCCAATCAAGAGCTTTTCACAGAGAAGCCCTTGATTGGACTTTTTCACTGGCTCAGAGTGCAGGCATGCGTTCTGTGCCAGGGTGGGAGGGAGGATAGGAGAGAATTTGTAACTTAAAACCCCCCCACTATTTATTTAATAGAAGGGGGGAAACACAAATGGAAGAAGGAGAGAGTAAGCTTCCTGCAAGGGATAAGATTGTTACATGTGTCACCAATGCCCAGTGTGCCCTGACGACACTCTTAAATTTGGAACAGAATTAACATCTGGTAGTCTGGAACAGAGTTCTTGGCTGCCAAAATCAAGTGTGCTGGGGCTGTAACTAGCCCCCATGTACATCCGGAGTCCTACCACCATGACCACTTCAAAATAATGAAGTGGTAATGTTGGTTGGACTAACCCTTTAATGAATATTTTTTGATAAATATAATCAAAGTAATAAGAGCCATAACAATACT